CAATAAAATTTTTTAAAAAAGTGAATTACTGGGGCCAGTGCTGTGGCATAGTAAGCAAAACCACTGTCTGCAATGCTGGGATCCTGTTTGGGCACTGGTTCGAGTCTGGCTGCTCCACTTCCTGTTGTGCTCCCTGCAGTGTGCCTGGAGCTACAGCAGCTTGTGTCCCGTGTGTGTGTGTGTGTGTGTGTGTGTGTGTGTGTGTGTGTGTGTGTGTGTAGGGGTGTAACTTAGGCACCAGGATGGCAAACTTAGCTTTAAACTTCTTTGTTCTATTTGTAACTTTTCCTTCCAGCTTCGGAGCTAGAAGAGAAAGCAAGGTCAGATGCAGCCTTCAGACTCCGTCAGCCAGCCTGAGCTTTTGAGCCTAGCTTCGGGGAGAGCAGAGGGGGTAGGCTCTGAGCTGGGTGGCGGCTGCGGCAGCATGACTACCAGCCCCTGGAGATCTACCGCTTGTGTTTTATAACCCAGAGTCGGCATGAATGCCACAAACATCACTGCAGAAGATGTTCAACTTATGACCCCCCAAATATTTAACCGGGAATGTCCGTTGCTATGAGACGGCAGCAAAATATTTTCAGAAGTCACCAAGCTTCCTCCTTTTGTCAAGAGCAGAGAAAACCTGACTACACAAAGTGAGGGCTAACGGGGCTGTGGAGATTGAGGCAGACATGTGGCTGGGGTGAGCTGGAGCAAGCCCGGATACACTCCCCAAGCTTGATTTATTAGCGTGTCGGGTCTGCCTCCAGCCACCTGCTGCTTGCAGGCAGTGGTACAGTGAGGGTTCCCCGCCTCCTGTGACAGTTGCCTGGTGTTTCCCATGTGAAGGTGTGACAGTTCTTCCAGGAGTTTTGCTCGCGCATGCGCAAGGCTAACTTCAAGGATGTAGCTAACGCCAGTTTTTTGTTTTTTTTTTCTGTCCAGTGCCTGGTGTGGGTCTGGCCAGGCAGCTGCCTGCTGGATGGGGTGCGGCAGTGACCACTGCGCGTCCCCTTGTAGGGTGGGGCTGAATGGTTCTGTGTGGCCTGCTCTGGTCAGTTTTAGGTCCTGTAAATGTGCTTCATTTCGCCTTCCAAAGGTAAAACAAATTGTTTGCACAATGCATTTTTTTTTTTTCAGTTCCAAGTGCAGAGTGTCAGTAGAGTCTTCCAGCCTGCCCACTGGTGGCCCTGGAGGTCATTTTTCCCAGGGACACAGCTCAGTGTTGTACTGTAAGTGGCTGGAACTGCTCAGCCTTTTCGCTGTCCACACTCACAAAGTCGATTTGGCTTTTAGGAAATGAGATTGTGCTACTCACAGCGTTTTGTATGCTTCGGGAAAGTTCGACAGCACATCTTGTGTGCTATCCGTGACAGGCATTTTGTTTGTCGTTAATTCGTAGTTCCCTGTTTATAGATAACACTTGAATGTCCTTAAAAGTGTCCTTTGGCACCTCGGCTTTCCTTGGATTAGTCTGAAACAAGTTTGAGGCTTAGAACCGGCTAAGTCGTACGCAGTGCTGAAAGTGTTCGCCTTGCGAGCCCCTTGTCCGAGGACTGCACTTGAGGGGCTGTGAGAGATGGCAGCGCACTTTCGTTTGGCTAAATGTGAGCGAAGAGCGTTGCCGGAGTGGACAGTAGATCCTCTTGCTCCCTGCAGGCCCATCCCTAAAGCCAGCCCTGCAGGCCCCCATGTGTCCTGACACAGGGACTTAGGCGCGTGCGTAGAAATGGAATTAGATCAGTTCCTTCTGGCAGAAAAAAAAAAAAAAAAACTTTTAAAAAAAATTTGTGGCTGGCCTTGTGGCATAGTGGGCAAGGCCTCTGTATGCATGTATATATGTCTTCCCAGATAGGTGTCGCTTTGTATTCCGGCTGCTCCACACGAATGGTCAAGGCTTTGGGCCCCTGCCACCCATATGTGGGTAGCAGACCTGGTTAGAGCTTCTGGCTTCTGGCTTTGGCCTGGTCTAGCCCCGGTCACTGCAAACATTTGAACTAGCAGATAGAAGTCCTCTCTTCCCCTCTACAGCCATACCACCCTGAACCTGCCTGATCTTGTCTGATTTCGCAAGCTAAGCAGGTTCGGGCCTGGTTAGTACTTGGGTGGGAGACGTTCTCTCTTGCTCCCTCCCTCTAGCTCTGACTTTCAAAGTAAATAAGTCTTTTTTAAAAAAAAAAAAAAAAAAGATTTACATATATTTTATTGGAAAAGCAGATTTACAGAGAGAAGAAACAGAGAAAGAGCTTCCATCTGCCAGTTCACTCCCCAAGTGGACTCAACAGCTGGACCTATCCAAAGGCAGGAGCCAGGAACCTCCTCTCTATCTGCCCAAAAAAACCCAAATATCTTTTTTTTTTCTTAAGATTTTATTTATTTATTGGAAAGTCAGATATACAGAGAGGAGGAGAGACAGAGAGGAAGATCTTCCCTCCGATGATTCACTCCCCAAGTGAGCGCAATGGCCGATGCTATGCCGATCCAAAGCCAGGAGCCAGGAACTTCCTCCAGGTCTCCCACGCGGGTGCAGGGTCCCAAGGCTTTGGGCCGTCCCCGACTGCTTTCCTAGGCCACAAACAGGGAGCTAGATGGGAAGTGGAGCTGCCGGGATTAGAATCGGCGCCCATATGGGATCCTGGCGCGTTCAACGCGAGGACTTTAGCCAGCCGCTAAGCCACGCCGCCGGCACAAAACCCAAAAATCTTTTAAAAATCTTCTTTTAAGATTTCTTGTAGACCAGAACTGCAACAGAGATAACTCCCAATCACTAGCTCACTTGAATGATGGGACGGCTAGGGACTGGGAGCGCGATTCAGGTCTGCATGTGGGCGCCGGGAGCCCCACCACTGCCTCCCGGGGTTACACAGGGGCAGGAAAGCTGGACTCTCCAAAACACTGCACTTCGCTGTGGGATGTGGGAATCTTCATTGTTAGGTGAAAGACCACTTGAGGCCAAAATAAATGAATAAACCAACACATAAAGTTATGATCCATGCATAGGAAGGGGTTTCCGAAAGAAATGCAAAGGAAAATGAATACAATGGAATATGGATTTCAGATGTCTTTGTATTGCAAAAGATTGTTAACTCCATTTCCCCGTGAACTTTTGAGGAAGCAGGTGCTTGTCTATGACGCATGCGCAGTAACAGCCAGCAGTGTCCGCTGCTTCTTACGGAGAATCTCCCACCCCCGTTTTAGAACTAGCCGCTATTTGTTGGTGGCTGACACCATTCTAGCTTGTCGGCGCCATCATGGCTTCAACCAGACTGTGAGGTAGCTGTTTTTTTAAAGCACTTCAGTGTATCTGTGTGTCCTGCACATGGAGGGTCTATCTGGAAACACCTGGGCAGGTGTAGCTGTGGGCTCTGAAAGGGACTGACCGAGAGGAACCGCTGCTGGCTTTCCACAGATGCCAACATATCCTTGGCACAGTAGGTTGCGATGGGGCTTTTCCCATGGGCACCAGGGTAGCGAGCGCTTGGATGTGTATCCGTTTCAAAGCGGAAGGTGGAATCTCTGTGACATTTAATTTTTGTTTCCCTCCTGAGAATGCTTCAATTGTTTGATTTTCCCATCCTGGGTGCTGACTGCATCCTTTGCCCACTTTTATACTAGTGGCTGTGGATTCTCTACTCATCTTGGGGGACTTTAGGACATTTCAGGGGGCCCAGGTGACTGGTTATTCGGATACACAGATAAGAGTTTCACTCCTCCAAGAGTGGGGCCTCTGCACAAGGTTGTGCCACCCGCCGTGCCACCACAGAATCCAGAGTACGAGCATCAGGTCTGTGTGTCCCCGGATCCGTAAGATCCGGAGGTGGCCTTCTGCAGCCTCTAGTGGCTGCGGTGACTTCAGGGAGCCCAGTATCTGCCTTCTTCCCGCCATGCGTGGACACGGCCTGAGGGATGCACCTGCCCACGCTTGGTCAGAGTTAGAACTGCTGCAAAGGCTGGGTCGCTGATCCCTGCAGAAGTATGGAGAGGTCTGTATGAGGCCATGGAAGTTTCTGTCGCTTGAATAAGATAGATCTGCCCCCCTAAAAGTTTGTGGAGGAGATATGTAAAACATGAATAATAAAACAGGGTGGAGGGGGCGTTGGGCATACAAGATGCTTGCCCAGCCCCCGATTCTGGCTTCCTGTTAACAAAGACCTTCTCAGGCTGCGGTGACAGCTCAAGTGTTTGGGCTGTTGCCCCCAGGGACAGGTCCTTGGGTTGAGGTCCCAGTTTCCTTTTGAAATGCCCGGGGTGGAGGCCCGGCTCTGCCTCCCGTTCAGTTTCGGCCTAGGAGGCAACTGATGACAGCTCAGGTGCTTGGGCTCCTCCCACCCAGTTGGGAGCGCTGTGTTCCTGGCTCCTGCTTTTCTGCCTGACTGATTCGCGTATTTAGGGGAGGGAGCCACTGCTCTCTCTGTCTGTTCCTTTGTCTCTTTCTCTGTGTGTCACTGCCTCTCAAATAACAGAGAGAAAATAGATCCTTTTTAAAAACCAGACTATAGGGCTTGGCACGGTGGCCTAGCGGCTAAAGTCCTTGCTTTGAACACATCGGGATTCTGTATGGGCGCTGGTTCTAGTCCCAGCTGCCCCGATTCCCATCCAGCTCCCTGCTTGTGTCCTGGGAAAGGACAGCCCAAAGCCTTGGGACCCTGTACCTGCATGGGAGACCTGAAGGAAGTTCCTGGCTGCTGGCTTCAGATCAGCTCAGCTCTGGCCGTTGCAGTCATTTGGGGAGTGAATCATCGGATGGAGAATCTCCTCTCTGTCTCTCCTCCTCTCTATATATCTGACTTAACAATGAAAATAAAATAAATCTTAAAAAAAAAAAAAACCAGACTATAACTACTTTGTTGGAGCTTAGAAATGAGCTGTTGAGCCCTCGAGGCCTGTCCGTGATCGCTGGCCTACCGACCCCAGCCCCTTTGGGTTGCAGGGCGTCCTGTGATTGCTGTAAATACCGCTTCTCCCAGCGACCTGGCCAGTCCCGCCTGCATAGATCATGGTCACTCTCCTTCTCCCTGCAGGGCAGACAGGTGCCGGTAACAACTGGGCCAAGGGCCACTACACGGAGGGAGCGGAGCTGGTGGACTCGGTGCTGGATGTGGTTCGCAAGGAGTGTGAGCACTGTGACTGCCTGCAGGGCTTCCAGCTGACGCACTCGCTGGGCGGGGGCACGGGCTCGGGCATGGGCACCCTGCTCATCAGCAAGATCCGCGAGGAGTACCCCGACCGCATCATGAACACCTTCAGCGTCATGCCGTCGCCCAAGGTGTCCGACACGGTGGTGGAGCCCTACAACGCCACGCTGTCCGTGCACCAGCTGGTGGAGAACACGGACGAGACCTACTGCATCGACAACGAGGCCCTGTATGACATCTGCTTCCGCACGCTCAAGCTCACCACCCCCACCTATGGTGACCTCAACCACCTGGTGTCAGCCACCATGAGTGGGGTGACCACGTCGCTGCGCTTCCCGGGCCAGCTCAATGCTGATTTGCGCAAGCTGGCCGTGAACATGGTGCCCTTCCCGCGCCTGCACTTCTTCATGCCGGGCTTTGCGCCCCTGACCAGCCGGGGCAGCCAGCAGTACCGTGCCCTAACCGTGCCCGAGCTCACACAACAGATGTTCGATGCTAGGAACATGATGGCTGCCTGTGACCCACGCCATGGCCGCTACCTGACCGTGGCCACCGTTTTCCGTGGGCGCATGTCCATGAAGGAGGTGGACGAGCAGATGCTGGCCATCCAGAACAAGAACAGCAGCTACTTCGTGGAGTGGATCCCCAACAACGTCAAGGTGGCCGTGTGTGACATCCCACCACGTGGTCTCAAGATGGCCTCCACCTTCATCGGCAACAGCACGGCCATCCAGGAGCTCTTCAAGCGCATCTCGGAGCAGTTCTCTGCCATGTTCCGGCGCAAGGCCTTCCTGCACTGGTTCACGGGCGAGGGCATGGATGAGATGGAGTTCACAGAGGCCGAGAGCAACATGAACGACCTGGTGTCTGAGTACCAGCAGTACCAGGACGCCACAGCCAACGATGGTGAGGAGGCCTTTGAGGACGATGAAGAGATCAACGAATAGAGTGGCTCCAGGGCCCAGCAGTGCACGCTGCACAGAGGGGTGCACTGGTCTTGGGGGAGTTGTGTGGGCCCCTCCCAGCAGTACCAAGAGAGCTGTATTCCCAGCCATCAGGAGTAGGAAAAAAAATACAGGACCATGGCAAGTAACTGGCTGCCCACCCTAGCCAGGGTTGCGTGCCGGTCTTGAGGGACATGAACCATGAGGTCACAGGGGGCTAGAGGGAAGCGTCATGTTCCGGTGAGCGTTCAGTCACCTCTGAGAAGGTGACTGAGCAAAGGGCAGTGAGCAATGGGATTTTGTTGTCCATCCTTTGTGATGAAAGCTCAAGTGTTGCCTTATTTGACCATGTGCTGTGAAACTCTGAAACGATCCATTCATAATAAAATGCTCAACTTGTGCCTGGGTCCTTTGAAGCCATGTGCCTTCTTGACCGACAAGCTCCCCAGCACTGGGCCCTCAGGGGAGCTCCCAGCCCCGTTCACTGAAGGGCTAGAAGGAAGAGCTTCCCTTTTCATTTAATTTTACTTGTAGCATTGTTTACATAGCTAACAGGGATGCATGCCCCCATGGGCCTAATCAGAGTGGGGAGGGCCAGGTATGGAGCAAGGTTGGGTGGGGACATGTTTCAATTTTTTTTTTTTCTCCTGTATCCACAGGGGAGGAGGGGGAGAAGGACACTTGTTGCTTTCAAAGCACCTTGGGAGGGGGATGGTCATTTGATGACTCCTTAGAGACCTCAGTGTACTGAAGAGTGCTCCAAGGATGTTAGAGTGTGATTTTGATGGCCCGAAGACACTGTTGGTTTCATTGCTCCAGGATTGAGAAAATCTTTCCAAGGTCTACTGGTTGGCAAAGTGCACCTTAGTGTATGCACAGACCCAGGAACATGCTGCAAAAGCTTGGGCAGCAGAATGGTCCAACCTGTCCTGCTTTCCATCCTTTGACAGCTAACACCCCCTGTTGGCCCAAATGAGCTGACTCGCATGTCCCTCATGTGCATCTAGACATATTCAGTGCGCAGGCATCAGCAACTGAGGAGGCCTACTCCTGTGATTTACACTTCCTGTGATTCTTGCTGTGGCCAGGGTCTGAGTCCAGTATTCGATTTGGGGAGTCCCTCAAGAAATCTTGCCTGGAGTGACCTCAGACTTGATTCATGTTCGGGCCAGTGCAAGGTCAGTGCAGACTGTCACTTGTATCATCGGTTCACATGCTGGTGGATACAGCTTGGTCAGTTGTGCCTCAGCCCCATGTCTCACATGACCCAATGGATGCTGTCGCCCAGCCCAGCCAACCTGCCACAGGCCTGGTCCGTAACTATATCAGTGGGTGCTGCGGCCTAGTCAGGGTGATCCCCATAAACACCCACCAACCCCAACCCTGGTTTTTGTATGTGTCAGCATCTGTTGATGCCTAGCCTGGCCCAGCCCACATCCCAACCAGCTCTCATGAACACCCATGGGTGCTGTGGTTTAGCTCAGCAAGGGAGTGCATACCTTTCCCCTGCCAGGCATATTCCCAGCTCCAGATCTTGTGCTTGCCGGGTGGGGGTGGGTACTGTGGTCCAGCCTAACAGGACTCACACCCAGTCCCAGCACTTGCTAGCTGGTATTGTGGTCTAGCTTGGCTGGCCTATACCTGTTCAGGCTCTTGTATGCCAGTGGGTATAGCAGCCTAGCCCAGCCTGGCTCAATGCCAGTCCCAACTCACGCTTTTCAGTGGAATCAGCATCCAACAAGGGAGTCACCAAAGTTCTCCTACCAGACCCGCTCCCAGCCCCAGACCCCGCATGTGCCATCACGTACTGCTGCCCAGACTGACATGGCTGATGCCCAGTCTTGGCACTCACTGGAGGGTCCGGTGGTCTAGCCCAACTGGCCTGCACCTATTCTGGCTCTCACCAATGGGTATTACAGTCTAGCCCAGGCTACCCCACCCCAGACCTAGCTCTTATATGGCCCATGCCGATCCTGGCCTGTCCCACACTCATTTTGCTTTTGCAAGCCCCGGTGGGTGCTGGAACCCAGCCCAGTTTCGTCCGTTCCCAGATCTAGACAACACCCATGCCAATGGGTGCTGCAGCCTCGCCTAGCTTGGTCTGCTCACAGCCCTGGCTCTCACACCTCTCAGTGGGAGCTGCAGTTCAGCAGTAGAGTCCCAAGAGTTCTACCAAGCCTGGTATGGAGCACCTGTGGTCTCAGCTCTCTCTGGTGTGTTGGAGCCTAGCCCAGCCAGGCGTGGCTCATGTGCTGCCCTGGCTCTCATGCGTGCCAGTGGGTGCTAATACCTGGCCCAACGTGGCCTTTTCCCAATCCTAGCCCCCATGAGTGTCAGATGCATTCCTGTCAGATGAGTTCTGTGGTCCAGCCTAGCATGGCCCATCACCACCCCCAGCTGTCTGCATAAACCAGCAGGTACTGCAGGCCCACAGAGGAAAGTCCACAATTCCCCTATAGAATCTGTGTTCAAATCCAATTCCTACTCTTGTGGGTGCTGGGGCTGGCCTGACGTGGCACATCCCTTGCTCTGACACTCAGACAGGTACTGTGGCATAGCGTAGCCAGGCATGCCCTCTCTAGCTCCCGCTTTTGTGAGTGCCACTGGGTGGCAGGTGACACAATTTAGCCTACGTGGGCAGGTGCATTGGCCTGACACAGACATGTGCTCTGGGTTCCTCCTTCTAAATGAGACCTTCTCAGTGGGCTGGCTTGTGGAAGACCCCAGAAATCATTCCTCTCCTGTCAAACATGCCCTCAACTGCTCCTACTCCAATACACCCCCAGATTCCTTCCCTGGGCAGTCTGTACCTTCCCAAGCTGGGGTGCGTCCCAGCCCGAAGTCCCTTGTCTAAAAAAGAGGGGGATGGGGAGGGAGAGTGGAACAAGCAACCCTCTTGGCATATCGGTAGTTTACACAAATTCAGCGTTACCCAGGTCCAGATGCCTGCCAGGCTGCTTTGCTCCCAGCAGTGCTCACTTGCCTAGGCACACGGTAAGCTTGCCAGTGGCCTACCACTGGAGCAAGAGCTTTTTTCTTTTCTTTTTTTTTTTTTGTTTTGTTTGAGATTTATTTATTTTTATTGGAAGGACAGATTTACAGAGAGGAGAGAGGAAGACCTTCCATCTATTGATTCACTCCCCAAGTGGCCGCAACGGCCGGAGCTGAGCTGATCCGAAGCCAGGAGCCAGGAACTTGTTCTAAGTCTCTCACACGGGTGCAGGGTCCCAAGGCTTTGGGCTGTCCTCAACTGGAAATGTGAACATTAGGTCAGTGTTATGGCACAGTAGGTTGAGCCAGTAGCTCCAATGCCACGACCCTATAAGGGTGCGGGTTCAAGTCCCAGGTGTTTAACTTCCAACTCGGCTCCTTGTTACTGCTCCTGGGAGGGCAGCATGATGATGTGCCAAGTGCTTTTCTAGGTGAGAGACAAGTTGCTGGCCTGGGCACAGCCCCAGCTGCTGCAGCCACCTGTAGTAAGGCAGCGGATGGGAGATCCGTCTGACCCGCCTCCCTCATTCTATCACTCTGCCTTTAAAAGAAGAAAAGGGACCGGCGCAGTGGCGCAAGTGGTTAAAGGTCCTCACCTTGCACGCCCGGGATCCCATATGGGCACCGGTTCTATCCCGGCAGCCCCGCTTCCCATCCAGCTCCCTGCCTGTGGCCCGGGAAAGCAGTCGAGGACGACCCAAGGCTTTGGGACCCTGCACCCACGTGGGAGACCCGGAAGAGGCTCCTGGCTTCGGATTGGCTCAGCTCCAGCTGTTGCGCTCACTTGGGGAATGAATCATCGGACGGAAGATCTTCCTCTCTGGCTCTCCTCTCTGTATATCCGCCTTTCCAATAAAAAAAATAAATCTTTAAAAAAAAAAAAGAAGAAAAAACTGGGACCAGTTTAAGTCCTGGCTGCTCCACTCCCAACCCTGCTCCCTGCTTCTGGCCTGGGAAGACAGCTAAGGATGGTCCAAGTTCTTGGGTTCCTGCACCCATGTGGGAGACCTAGAGAAAGCTCTTGGCTTTGGACCAGTCTAATTCTGGCCACTGTGGTTATTTGGGGAGTGAAACCAACAGATGGAAGATCTCTGTGTCTGTCCCTCCTTCAGAATTACATTTTCTATCTGCTGGTTTATTCCCCAAATGATGGCAATGGCCAGGCAGAAGCTAGGAGTTTCTTTTGGGTCTCCGATGTGGTTACAGTTGCTCGGGTAATTGCTGTTTTCTCAGGCTGTTAGCAGGGAGCCAGATGGGAAGTGGAGCAGCTGGGACTTGAACCAGCACCCATATGGGATGCTAGCATTACATGCAGTATCTTGGCCCACTGTGTCACAGTGCTGACTGACCCCATCTGCCTTTCAAATAAGTCAACTGTAAAATCAATCAATCTATCTATCCATTCATCTATTTATATAGTGGGACATGTCCATTATATGGTGCCTCCAAGTCCAGATACTGGCATCTGAAGTCAGTTAATGCCTTCCCCGTGCCATCTCGGGTAAGAACTCTGCTCCAGGTGGCAGCAGGGCCATGCTGGCTTTCCTGCAAACTGGCTAGATCCTCTGTCCTCATGGAGAGTGGCCACTGAGACCACTCCTGCAAGGTCACGCTGGGGCCCAAAGTCTCTTCTTTGAAATGTCGGGGATGGTCAGCCAGGCCCACTCACAGGCTGACTTCCAGGCCTGCTGGTGTGAGCAGTACCAGGACACGACAGGTCCGGGGGAGACCTCACTGAAGCGGCTGTCACGAGCCCAGCAGGCAGGCGAGACAGGTGGCACGGAAGGCGCCAGTGCAGCCAGCGGGACCGTTCAAAAACGGCTCATTTTTTACCCAGAACACCAACACACAGCAACTCTGTTCACACACACACACACACACACACACACACACACAAAGGTGCAGTGTCACATTTTATTTTTGCTGTAAAGAAGCTGTATTTACAATACAATCAGATTTTTAAATATTTTACAGCTCTCTGTAGAAAACCAATCCATTAAAACAGCAACAAGTGATTCAATCTTTAAAATACAAGTCAAATCAAAATGTTCTTATCAGGACTCTGATTTAATTTCACAGTCCATCTGCAGAGGAAACCAGAGAACAGGAATGAAGAGTGGGTGGTGAACTGCTTCTCTCCCACGGGTGGACTGACAGCGAGCCAGCTGCGCTGTGCTGCGTCTCACGCACAGTGCCTTGGGGACTGCCGAGGGTGGCGGGCTGGCTCCCCGTGCCAGCCTCCTCTGAGCTCCTGGGCTATGGGAGCTGAATTCCTCTGGAGCCTCCAGAGTGCTGGCTCCCCCTGCCTGCCACCTGCAGCAGGGGCTCAGCGGCTGGTACCACCAGCTTAGCAGGTCCCTGCGCCCCTACACCAGAGCAGCCGGGGGCGCACTGGCAGTGCTGAAGACACTCACGGGCGTCCGGCCTTGCACTCAGTTGGCGACCTTCTCCCCGGCCGGGGGCTCCTCTTTCTCCTTCTCGCGCTCCTTGTTCCAGTCCTTGAGGCCCTCTGGAAGGGAGGTGTCCTCGTCCAAGCTGCCAGTGCCTTCTACAAACTCCTCGTAAGTAGATTTCTCTGCAAATGGTCTGGGGCCCAGGAGCTCAACCATATCATTCTTATCTAATACTTCTTTTTCTAACAGCAGCAGAGCGACCTGAAAAGGGAACCATGTCCATTAGCTGCAGTTCCTCTGCAGTCTGTTCAAGTTTATGCTTTGACTTAATTCCACCCCAGCAAAGAAGAAAAGCATGAAAAATACGTCTCACACATAAGGTCACATTATTTCACAGGAAAATGGAAAAACAACTGTAATAGTTGGGGTGGGGGGAATATTGCAATAGCAAAATGTCCCCATCAGCAGCCAGTGGGCACACAGCACCCGGCTTGGTGACTGCATGCCAGGAGGACTAATAAGGAAGCTGTCTTCTGCCTAAACCTCAGAGATACACACTGCAGTAGAAGCAAGACATACAATATGTATAGTATGCTGTTTGCTTTTTTAAAAGTGGGAATAATTTCCTTTTTTTCTATGATGTTCAAGCAAAATCAGGAGGCCACAGCCCAGGGCTAATCTTACCTGCAACCCTCACAAAGCAAGAGGGAACTTAGAGGTGCTCCTTCTGTCCTCCCCTGGAGTGAGTCTCTCTCTCTTTCTCTCTCTCTCACACACACACACACACACCCCGCGTGCCCTGGCCCTCCCACTGGGTCCCGTCCACATAAGGTCAGTGCCCAGCAGGAGCCAATGAGGGCGGCTGCTGCGGTCCCTGGCCACACTGCTGGGCAGCCTGCTGGGCTCCATGATGCATTCCTTGCTCAAATAAACCGTTAAATCATCTTGGTCCAGCTTCTCTTGTACAGTGTTTCTATGCACATTCTCAGGGAGTGTGTGAGAAAGTAATAAAGAGGTTTTTATGGAGGAAGCAGGCTGGGGGCAAGGATGGAAACAGAGTGGTGGGGCAAACAGAAAGAAAAACGAGCAAGATAAGCACGAGGGCGGGACCCAAGTGAAGCCCCGAAGGGCTAATGCAAAAAACAGGGATCCGAGTCTGTGAGATCACCTCACTACCTGGAAGTGAACTGCTTCAACCATTAGATGTATCTCACAAAATATACTTAGTTATTGAAGTAACTCCCTATCTAGAAATCTAACCTATCTGTAGTTAATAATAAACGCTATGTTGTAAAAAGAGAAAGTGATGGGATAATTTTCTTCTGTTCCCACTCCTCTCCAAACAAGGGCTGCTGTGTTGCCCAGCACGTTAAGCAGCCACCTGCAACCACCGGCATCGAGTCCTGGCTACTCCACTTGGGATCAGCTTCTTCCTGATGCTCCTCAGAAGCAGCAGCGGGTGGCTCACCCACATGCAAGAGCTGGACAGAACTCTAGGCTCCTGGCTGCGATGTGGCCCAGCTGTGGCTACTGCACTATTTGAGGAGTTAACTGTCCTTCCTCTTTGTAACTCTGCCTTTTAAATAAATAAATCTATTTTAAAAAAATATTTATTTTTATTGAAAGTCAGAATTATAGAGAGAAGCAGAGACACAGATAAAGATCTTTCATTTGCTCATTCACTCCCTAAGTGGCCACAACGTCTGGAGCTGAGCTGATCTGAAGCCAGGAGCCAGGAGCTTCCTTCAGGTCTCCCACATGGGTGCAGGGTCACAAGGCTTTGGGCCGTCCTCAACTGCTTTCCCAGGCCACAAGCAGGGAGCTGGATGGGAAGTGGGGCAGCCGGGATTAGAACTGGTGCCTTTATGGGACCCCAGTTCATGCAAGACTAGGACTTCAGCCACTAGTTTACTGTGCTGGAACCTTAGATAAATCTTTTTTTAAAACTACTGCAGAATATTTCAAATAACTATAATGATAGGAAGAACATATAAGTCCCACATAACCACTATCAACAATGTAAAGCCATTTTTTTTGTCAAATCCCTGATTTTTATGAAAATTCCAAATGTCACACCATTTTATTCATACATATTTGTCTCTATCTGAGAAAATTCTTTTTTTTTTTTTCCCCGAGAGAATTCTTTAAGAACCGAGTACTGGGCCCAGTGTGGTAGTCAAGCAGCTAAGGTCCTCACTTTATAAGTGCTGGGATCCCATATGGGAGCTGGTTCTGATCCTGGAAGCCCCTCTTCCCTTCCAGCTCCCTGCTTGCGGCCTGGGAAAGCAGTCAAGGACGGCCCAAAGCCTTGGAACCCTGCACCCATGTGGGAGACCTGGAAGAGCTCCTGGCTCCTGGCTTCGGATCAGCTCAGCTCTGGCTGTTGTGACTACTTGGGGAGTGAACTATCACACAGATCTTTCTCCCTGTTCTCTCCTCCTCTCTTGTAAAATCTGCCTTTCCAATAAAAATAAATAAATCTTAAAAAAAAAAAAAAAAAAGAAATCTGAGTACTAAAATGCCCTGATTTCTAAATGCTACTTGTACATGCACAAGGAGAAGCTTTAGGATTCCTTTTCAGATGGTCTTCATTAATTCACGAATCTGAGTGCTCACATTCTCGTTACAGTTCTAACTCGAACTTCGGTAATACTTAGCCTAATATGGGAAAAGCCTTTTCATTTCAATATGTGACGTTATAAAAAGCTGGCATTTCACAATTGCCTTTTCGTCTGAATCTTCAAACACCAGTGTGTACCTTGTGCTCACAGAACACGTCAATCCACACAGGCCACGCCCAGGCGGCAGCCGCGGATAAACAGGGTGGGCGCTGCAGGCGGCAACCTGCATCAGAGTTCTGACTGCCTGACCCTAACTTACAGCTCCATCAGCTCACTGTACGACAGCTTCTCCATGTGCACTGGGAGAGTAATGTTAGCTACTTTACGAAGTTGTCACACTGCCTTTTTAAAAAAGGTTGATTTATTCAAAACGCAGAGCGAGGGAGACAGAGTTCCTCCATCAGCTGCTTCACTCTCCAGATGGTGCAACAGCCGGGGCAGGGCCAACAGGGCAGGGCCAAGGCCGGAAAGCCAGGACCGTCTTCCAGGTCTCTCACCTGGTGGGAGGGACCCGAGTGTCCGGGCCACCTTCTGCTGCTTTTCCCAGGGAGCTGGATGGCAAGTAGAGCAGCGGGGACTTGAACCAGCACCCAAATGGCATTGCAGGTGGAGGCTTCACTCGCTGCACGACAGTGCTAGCCCCGGCTGCCTTTCCCAGCGAGTCACTGATAAGCACCAGCTGGTTCCCCTTACTGCCCACGGTAAACTGCAGAGTGGAAAGGGCTCCAGCTGGAGACCAGCCCCTCCCTTTGGATGGACTCCACGTGTCCCCTCCACATTTCTTTGCTGCATAGTGTTAGCACGTGCACTGTGACCATGGAAGGGTGGAGTAACTGGGTTAAACTGGGCCTGTTCCAGCATTTTTCTGAGTCACTGCAGACCTACTGTGCCCTCAGCCTGGCGCCTGCAGGGAGCCTACTGCCTGGGGTTCCACCTCATGCTCTCTGGTGCACTGGGCTTTATTTAGCACATCCCAGCACATGGACCTCCTCGCACAGCTTTGCTCTTGACCGGCCCCCGCCAGGGGCTGCTGTCAGATGCTCTGCCGTCACTCACTCTTCTCGTCCATTCTCTATTTGTCAGTAAGTCCCGGCTTCTCAGATCTGCTTTCCCTTTTACTTCTGCTGTCAGAAGCAGCCTCATCTGAACAGTGGTATACAGGCCTGCCATGGCCTCTGAACTCTTCTTTCCATCCCAACTGAGCACTGTGTGGCCACATTTTCTTCCGGACACAAACCGATGCCCATATGGGATCCCAGCAGATGCAAGGCGAGGATTGAGCCATTAGGTCATCGCGCTGGGCCCAGTCACACTTGTTAAATGGTAAACTTTAGGGGCAGCTATTGTGGTGAAGTAGGTTAAGCTGTGGTCTGTGACGCTGCCATTCCATACAGATGTTGGTTTAAGTCTCAGTTGCTCCACTCAGAATTCCTGCTAATGTGCCTGAGAAAGCAGTGGATGATGCTCCATGTTCTCGGGCCCCAGGACCCATGTGGGACGAAGACCTGGAAGGAAGAGCTCTCTCTCCCTGTAATTCTGCCATTAAATGAAATAAATAAATCTCTAAAAGTTGATCAACTTTAATTTCAAGGACGCCCTTAAGGACTATTATAAAAAAAGCGGACTTCCATTTGTAAAGCTGTTTGTCAATTCTCTATCAGGTACATCAGGGTCTGCCTTCCTCCACACCTCCACCCACCTGGCTCTTCCGCCTCTTCCTTCATTGTCACTTGGCAACCTGTGCACAAGGCGCGGCTGAGCCCTGGCTCACGGAAGCCTCCTTGGAGCCTTGCAGGAAGCCCATGCGGATCTTTCCTTTCTTGGGGCCCTACTTCACACTCCCAAGTGTTTCAGGAACACGGCTGCTTTCTCTCCAGTCCCTCCGGCCTCACCTAGAACCAGGCAGGCAGACAGGCTTGCAGCCAGGCTCTCTGAACCACTGGCTCATCCTACAACTTGTCTGAGAATTTGCCATTTTCTCAGCCCACATAAGCCCTGCCCTCTCCGCAGGGGACCTGCCTGTAGTCTCCTTATCTATTAGCTGAATCCTACCTATTCCAGAGGGGGGAACAGTGCCAGTTCCAAGCAAGCGACAGTGCTGCTTGTTTAGGAGCACTGGCAATCGCCTCCTGTCCAGTTGAGAGGTTCTGTTGCTAGCTCCCTAGGATTTACACAGACCAAGAGCCAGGGCAGCACGGCTCCAGGTCACGAGGCTCTGGGGTCGGGACAGCAAACAAACCAGGCGATCTATCCCTGTCATCTCTTTAAACCTCACGGAAGTTACCCATACGGCGGCACCTACCTTCTCCACATCAGCTTTCTTTTCCGTGAGAAGCGCTACTGTTCTCTTGTAAGCCTCATTGATAAGTATTCGCACTTCGTCGTCTATCAGTCTGGCAGTGGCTTCGCTGTACGGCTTCTCCAGCACCATGTCGCCCTGGCGCGGGAGGTCGAAGGAGATCTGGCCCACCTTCTCATTCATGCCAAACTGCACGATCTGGAAAGGAAGGCTCACACGGTCACTCTCGCCCTGGCCAAGTGTGCACGGAGAACGTGGCTGAGCTCTGGGCACAGGGCATCCTGTGAGGCCGAACGCTGCACAATTCCCAACCTGCAGCAGAGATCCAACGGGACAGGCGGGCAGGGACTCCCAGCAGGGGCAGGGCCTGTGCCAGCTGGCTGACATCACCCATAGCACCTCACCAGGAGAGCACGCCACCTGAAGCACAGACACGCCAAGGGGCATCTGTGCGTCCTGTGTACTCTGACTGTGGGCCAGGGGACAGTGTGAATGAAGCTGACCCAGTGAGGACACCAAGAGCCCTGGAAGTGACCAGCAGCACATCAGGAGGGCGCGTCTGTAAGCAAAACCCAAGCCGATGGGAAAAGAAAACAGGCGGCCAAGTCAAAGCAGGGACGGTGAGAAGAGAGCAGGGGGAGCTCGCACAGCAGGAAGGCCATCCCTACCACTTCAGAAACAGCAGAACTGAAGCCAGGAAACCAGGAAAGCTGTCCTCATCTCCTCCTTTTTTAAGGTATCAGAAGCAAATTTCATGTAAAACTGGGCAGTGAGAAATCCATCAGAAGTTATACAGAGGAAAAAAAAATCACATCTCCACAGAAAAGAGCACTGTAAAAAGATGCCTACAGGGGCCAGTGCTGTGGCACAGTAGGCTAAGATTCCACCTGTGGCACTGGCATCTCATATGGGCAGTGGCATGTGTCCCGGCTGCTCCACTTTCGATTCAACTCTCTGCTAATGGCCTGGGAAAGCAGCAGAGGATGGCCCAAGCCCTTGGGGCCCCTGCACCCATGTGGGAGACCCAGAAGAAGCTCCTGGCTCCTGCCCCATCCACCTCTAGTCTTTGCAGCCATTTTGGGAGAGAACCAGTAGATGGGAGATCAGTCACTCTACCTTTCAAATAAAATAAAACCTTAAACGCATGTGAGGTGCTAGAATATTATATAAAAGAAAAATGTTTATAATGAAAATTAAAGAGAAATAAACAATGCCCTGGAAGAACTATATAGTAAAAAACCCAAGTCAAATTAAAAAGAGTACTTTGAACGAAGCATTGAAACAGCTTCACGAGGCGGGCACTCAATTAACACGCCCGCATCCCACCTCAAGGCGCCCAGACCAAATCCTGGCCCTGACTTCCACTCCAGCTTCCTGTCAATGCTGATCCAGGTGACACTGGGACCGAATGTCTGGTCCCCGGTCCTGGCTAATCGGGCCATCTGAGAGATGGGCCACGGACGGGAGCACACTCCTGCTCTCAGATACACAAATAAAACTTAGAGGGGGAAAAAAAAAAAGGATTGAGAAAATGCCAGACACAGAAGACAAGCAAAGAGCAGCTAGCAGATGAATAACAGAAGTTGACAAAGACATGTATATCAAGTTCAAAGATTCTGCTGTTTGGGTTTGTACGCTCTTGTGGTAAACTTAAAACAGAATGACGTCGTTGCGGTAGGACAGAGAGGTGGAGGGGACTTGGGGCAGGGACAGGTATTATTTGTGACAAACCTCAGCCTCTATATACGCGTTTTATACGCTCAGGAAATCAGGCCCTAACCCGAAACAATGCACTAAGAAAGTTTCTGTTCAAACACAGACTTCAGGTCTGGCCCTTGCCGCCCGGCACAGCGCCTCAGCCCGGGGCGCCTGTCGGTACTCACCTGGGCGTAGGCGCTCTGCGTCACTTTCCTCAGGTCGTCCTGCGCACCCGTGGTAATTCTCCCGAAGAAGATTTCCTCGGACACACGTCCGCCCAGGGTCATGCACATCCTATCCAGCAGCTGCTCCTTGGTATACAGGTACTGCTCTTTGGGTAAATACTGAGCATACCCCAACCCTTTGCCACGGGGGATGATGGACACCTGGCAAGCGGAAAACACACCCTGCTCAAGGTTCCTTCAAAGGGTCTGCAGGTCGGCCCACCACCCCAGCCCCCAGGATTCTAGGCTAACCTCAGAGCTCCAGATAATCTCTATCTTGGGCACAGGGCTGTAGCATTGTGGCTAAAGTCCTCCCCGTGCACATGCTGGGACCCCATATGGGCGCCGGTTCTAATCCCAGCAGCCCCGCTTCCCATCCAGCTCCCTGTCTGTGGTCTGGGAAAGCAGTTGAGGACCAAAATTTTCGCACATTTAAGGTCACAAACATTTTCTTTTGCTTTTTTTCAGAGGTTTTAAAGTATTAGCTTTTATGAATCACTTCAAATTACTTCTTTTGATTAAGATGTAAGGTCAACAGTCACTTTTGTTTCAAGCGAATACTAAGTTGCCAGAAATATGTCGACAGAAACACTCCTTCCTTTTGAATTACCTTGCTAGCTGTGTTGAGAATCAAGTAAGCAACTCTGCGTGGTCCCCTTCCACACTCCATCCCACTGACCCAGCAGCCACCGTGTTCCTCACGGGGACTAAAGCAGGCAGTGAACACTTTAATTTTAAATTCAATGTGTGAATTTCTGCCAAGAGAGTCTGCTCTAATTCCAGGAGTCTGCACTGAAAGCTACAGATGAATTTGGGGTGGAATGGCACAACATTCCATGAAAACAGAATACAATTTAATCTTTAATTCAATGCATAGGTCCTATAAGCATTTTTAAAAATTTCATCCTTCTGTATGTCATGTTTCTGGATGCTATTGAACATAAAACTGAATTGCTACAATATCATTTTCCAGTTGTTCCTTGCTAGCATATAGAAATACAACTGATCTTGGGACAGCGTTGAGGTGCAGTGGGCTAAGCTGCTGCCTTCAAGGATGTAGCCCGCGGTTTAGTAAGTAAGCAGTAAAGGAGGGAAGAAGGACAGCCAGCTCATCTTGAGTTCTGCAACCTTATCAATAATTTCACCTATTAGTTCTACAGGTGTTTTTGCAGATCCTTCAGGATATTTATGGCCACGCTGATGCTGTTTTCTCTGTGGTCCATTTCAGGCTGTCCCCGACACTGCTGGGCAGCCAGGGACCTGCATTATGTACACCAACTTGTACTGATTTTCAACTGAAAAAAGCAAAAGACTCAAAAACTCCCACTTGGTGGGGAGCTGACGGTGTGACACAGGGGGTGTGGCCGCTGCCTGAAGTGGGATGTTGGCTATTGTCCTGGCTGTTCCACTTCCGATCCTGCTACTTGCTAAAGGCCTGGGAAAGGCAGTGGGAGACTGCCCAAGTGCAGGGCCCCTGTTGCCCACGTCGGAGACCCGGAGGATGCTCCTGGACTCGGCCTGGCCATTTGGGGAGTGAACCAGAGGATGCAAGATTTCTGTCTTTCCCTCCCTAACTTTCAAATACATAAACAAAATTTAAAAAGAATCCCATTTGGTGCACCCCTATCCTTTAGTCCAGGGTCTCTTGGGGAACCCCTCTGCACAGCCAAGAATTGGGGCATTAGTTATTTGGCCTCAGCCCCCTCTTGGCCTGGATTTTCCTGTAAAATTTCCAGTATTTAAATCCCTTCCTCCCACTTCAAGATTGTTCAGTCCACACTTTCACAGAGGAGTGTGAAGGTCGTAGGAAATTCTACCCACGGTCAGTGCCCAGCTTGCCCTTCCAAAGGTGCTCTATGCACATTTATGACCCATCTGTGTGACAGGGTCTGTGTAATCATTTCACTCCACTGTCATCAGTTTGCTAAATTCCCTAAGTTATACATCGGAAACATTTATCCCAATGGGAGTACTGACGGGCTCAGGCAGCCAGCAGCCTGCGACCACCCACACACATGGTTTCACCTTGAGGAGTGGGTCGGCGTGTTCCAGGTACCAGCCAGCGACTGCGTGGCCAGCCTCATGGTATGCCACAGTCTTCTTTTCCTCAGGCTGCAGGACCTGGGTTTTTTTCTCTAAGCCTAATAAAATAGCAACACAAACCCAAACCAGTTTAGTGACACTGACAGTGAGAGTTATACGATGCTATTCTTGCCTGGGGGAGTGGTTTGGACACCTGTGGGTGGTCCCCCCAGGGGTGTACCCAGACAGGGTCCAGAAGCTCTGCACCCTCCCCACGCACACCTCTTCACCTAAATCCTTCCTAACCACTAAATCGTGAGAGAATCAGCTGTCTGTCACACCCAACCACAGCAACAAGACCCTCACGAGCCCCACCCACAGGCCCACTTCGGTCCTAATTCTCTCATGGCCGGCTGTGGGAAATAAACGTGACTGCAAAACAGAATTCAGCACTGAAATAAATCTAAAACACATTCCCAGGAGACCAAGTCCTTGGTGCTGTCGAGGTACTTAGAGTAGGCTCGGCCACGAGGGGCCCTGCGGGCAGCTCCTGATGCCAGGCAGAGGGAGGGCAGGGCAAGGCAAATTCCACTCTTGAGGTGAGGTGGATATCGGGGCTCCCAGGCCACTCAGCACACAGCCTGAAGTGCTCAAACAACAGCCAGAGTGGCAGAATGGACCGGAGACAATCACCCCAGAGACGCTGGGGCCCACAGCTCAGCTACAGAGCACAGGACCGCAGTCCAAGCACCCTTCTCTGCACCTCAACCTCACATGGTCCGTGTCTGCTGTAAAAACGGAACCTGCCCAGGCAATACGAATCATCTAAACGTGACAAAATCAGTTTTGTTGTGGTCAGTGAAATTCATCAACTACTTACATAATAAAGAAACTGGAAGATTCACAAAGCCCCAGTGACACAGCCCCAACGAGCTGCAAGGATGGGAACTTAGTTAACAAGTCCTGTTTGCCACAGATAACTACCTCCTGCCTATCTGAAAAGACAAAGGATGAACTCCCCAGCCGATCAGACGCCTGTCATGTTCTCAGAATGCCAGCAGCCGTGCCTGGAGCTGAGCTGCGTTCCAGTGCGGCACCGTGATAACAAGCAAGTTCAACCTTGGAGCAGGGGGAGGGGGCCAGCATACCCAGGGAACAGACAGCAGGCCCCGGGCAGCTCAGGGCAGGCAGGCAGCTCTCATCAAAACAGAGAAGCCCCTGGTCTCCCTCAAGTTCACCTGATCAGCCGTTTGACTTGAATCCCACCAGTTGCCTTACCACCAATCACTCGTTCAATCGCTTGTTCAAAGTGTTTCTCATTAATGGAATCTGAAAGGTGTCTTGCAGCAATCAAGGCGGCTTCGTTACAGACATTGGCAACATCCGCTCCTAGAAAATAAGCATACACCATGGCTTTCCACCAACATACATTCGGCTGCTGAGCCAATCCGAAGCCAGGGGCCAGGAGCCTCCGCCAGGTCTCCCACTGGGCCGTCCTCGGGTGCTTTCCCAGGTCACAGGCAGGGAGCTGGATGGGAAAGTGGGCGCCCATATGGGATCCTGGCATGTTCAGGGAGATTTGCCACTAAGCCATTGTGACGGGCCCTAAAAGAAATTTTTCTTTTAAAACCCTTTGGATGGACCCTAGTGGCTAAATGCGCACCTTGCTTGTGCCAGGATCCTATATGGCTGCCTTCTCCCTGTACATCTGCCTTTCCAATGAAAAATAAATAAATAAAAACAAACGAACAAAAACCATGAGACACAACCTCCTATCCACTAAGATGGCTATAAACAAGACAGCCAGCTATCATCATCGCAGGTATTAGTAAGATCTAACAAGACTGGAACCCTCCTGCACTGACAGAGGGAATGTCAAATGATGTATTCCCTTTGGCAAAGGCTGCAGTCGTCCCTCCAAAGTCACACAGGTACTGCATGATGAAGCAATCACACCAAGAAAAACAAAAACATAAACATGGGTTCTTCAACAAGTTAGAAAAACACTTACCTTTTAAATTTCATTGTTCATGATCTTTCTGAAGCCTACTGTGTATGTATATACTTACACAAACATGTACAGGCAGGAAACGTGGACCACCAAGTATTCCACCGATGGGTAAACAAACAGAGGGCTGCTTGTTGGCACAGTGGGCAAAGCAACTGCTCGTGATGCTGCCGTACTACATGGGCCTCGGTCTGAGTCCTGGCTGTTCCATTTCCATCCAGAGGATGGTCCAAGGGCTTCCGCCGTGGATGGCAGAGTAGGACTGTCCCAGGGGACCCGTGTACGTGCTTGGGTCTCAGGTAGGCAGGTAGGGCTACCACACTGGCATGATCCTGGGGACTTGTGCATGTGCCTGGGTCCTGGGTTGGGTGGGTTGGGTCTTAGGGTGGCATGCTGGCATGGCACGCCAGTGGACTGGATGTGGGGACCTGTGTACATGCATGGGTCCCAGGTGGGTACGCAGGGCTCCAGGCCAGCACCTCACCGGAAGACTGGGAAACCCATGCATTCATGGCAACAGGGGCTGTGGATTGCTCAGGAAAGCAGAAGGACAACTAAGGAAGCATGTTACAGGTAAGGAGTGACTCCTGGGTGATTCTCACCAACCAGGTGCCAGTGTACCTGCAGGTAAGCAAGGGGGCCAAGACCAAAGAGTTTTGAGGAGAGAAACTGGAGGACCTTTCTGGGCAGACCTACACACCTACCCATATGGGAAAACTGAGCTGGGCTGGTTAGTATCCACCACTGCTGACCACCACCCATAGGTACACACTAAAGCTGGGGCTAGGGAGCCTACCTGGCAGGGCTAGATGACAGTACCTGCCAGTGAAGACCAGGACAGGGGACAAGTAATGTTAGGCTTGGCTATGACACTAACCAGCACATGAGAGAACCAGGTCTGGAGGCAGAGTCTGTGGGGGATATGTGGGCTCACCTTTGCAGGGCTTCAGTATCTGTTGGTTTGCTCAAGAGCTGGGGGCAGTGACATGCCAAACTAGGCACGACCATGGAACTCATGACACCCATGGGTCCTGGGGTTGGAGCAGGCTGGACCGAGCACCTGCATGAGATCTGATAATTCTGGGAGTGGGCCTGGCGGTGGAACTTGGGGAAATCCCTGGTGGGATATAGCTGTTCAGCACATGAGTCAGGGCTATGTGTAGGTCAGGCTAGGCAAGGATGTTCCACTTGATGGCAGGTATATGGGTTGGCCCAGAGGGTGGGGACAGACTGAGCCAAACCACAGCACAATGGCATGCTGAGGAGCCAGAATGGAGTACAGCCCATGGCCAAGCTAGGTCATCACACCTCCTGGTTTGCCTGAAAGGCAGGAATGGAGGCAGGGTGGGTAGGAGCAAGAGCTGGGATTAGGCTACAGCTTCTGATAGCAAAGGTCAAGATGGAGGACAGGCGATGCCAGGCTGGGTCATAGCAACCACTGGAACATGCAAGATCCGTAGCTGGGAGTGGACCTGGTTGGGGAGCAAAGGGGATGCCCAGCTGGGTTGTAGTTCTCTCTGGTGAGCATGAGAGCTGGAATGGGATGGACAACTGGACTGGTCATGACTGAAGCACCCCTTGGCATGTGTGTGGACTGGGTCTGGGGTGTGCCAGACTGGGCGAGGCTCTAGCACCCAGTGTGCTCACAAGAGCCAGAGTGCATGTAGGACAGGTGGGGTTGGGTCACAGCACCGACTGAGCCACGTGACAGCCAGGTCTGGGAGTGGACCAGGCATGGCTGGGCTGTAGCACCCAGTAGTAAAAGCCGGAATCGCTGTTGGCCGGTGGGGCAAGATCATTGCACATATCAGTGAGTGGGCCAAGTCAGGCTGGGTCAAGAATCCACCGGTGTGCATGAGATCTGCAACTGGAAGGTGGCCGAACAGAGGAGCTTGGGGAACTTCAGTCAGGACACAGTCCCTGCTGGTGAGTTCAAGAACCAAGGCTGGAAGCAGTCCGGCTTACAGTACCCACTGGCACACGTGCGGCAGGTCTGAGGGCAGGCCATGTTAGGGCAGTTTTTAGCACCCACTGGCAGACAAGAGGGTGAAGTGGCATTTGAGCCTTTTTTTAAAAATATTTATTTTCATTTGAATGCCAGAGTTTCAGAATGACATGGAGAGACAGATCTTTCATCCACTGTTTCACTCCACAAATGACTACAATAACTGAAGCTGGGCTGATCTGAAGCCAGGAGGTTCTTTCTGGTCTCCTACATGGGTGTAGGGGCCCAAGCATTTAGGCCATCCTCTGCTGCTTTCCCAGACCACTTGCAGGAAGCTGGATCCAAAGTGGAGCAGCTAGGATTCAAACTAGACCCATGCAGGGTTTAATGTTGTGACTGGTCTACTAAGCCAAGGTACAGGCAGATTATCTTAAACACACAAAAAGTGGAATGCCAACACAACGATGTGCTATTTGACCATGAAAAGCAGTGAAATTCTGCAACTGGTATAATACTGAAGCCAGCATTATGGACGAAAGCACAATTTTAAGTGAACCAACTTTGATGTATGTATTTTTCTGACAACTATGTAACTGGACCTTTATATAAAATATCTGAATGAAAGAAGAATGAGCTCTAGCGCTAAAGGTGAAGAGACCGGCTACTAACGCATTCTTCTGGGATGATAAAATGATTTAAAATTTAGTCATAGTGGCCGCAGTGTGGTGGCCAAGTGGCCAAAGTCCTCGCATTGCATGCACCATTACCCCATATGGGAGCCCATTTGTGTTCCAGCTGCTGTTTCCCTTCCAGCTCCCTGCTTGTGGCCTGGGAAAGCAGTCGAGGACGCCCCAAAGCGTTCAGACCCTACACCTGTCTGGGAGACCGGGAAGAAGCTCCTGGTTCCTAGCTTTGGATTGGTTCAGCTCTGGTCATTGTAGTTACTTGGGGCATAAACCAGCAGATGGAAGATCTTTCTCCCATCTCTCCTTCTCTCTGTTAGTTCACCTTTCTAATAAAAATAAATCAATCTTTTAAAAATTAAATCATGGTGCCTGTCGCACAACTGTATAAATACACTAAAATGCATTGCATTATATGCCTTGTACATGTAGACTTTATGGTATATTAACTTTACTATAATCAAACTGTCAAAAAAACAAAAACAAACCAAAAAACCCAACACCCTGCTTGGAAGTAACTATAATCCCGATGAATGGGGCAAGGTGCTGTGGCATAGCAGATACAGCCAGGGCAGGGGCCCGCGAGCCCTGCCGTCCCATGTCCCATCCAGCTCCCTGTTCACATGCCTGGGAAAAGCAGCAGAGAATGGCCCAGTGGGCTATCGGGAAGAAGATATCTGGCACAGCCCCAGCTGTTGCAGCCTCCATCTCTCCTTTTCACTCGATAGCTCTGCCTTTCAAACACATAAAAAAATTCAAACTTCATATTACAAAAGATGGAAAAAACAAAGTATCAGGGATGGGGAACACATTGTGGAGGGGCAAGAGGCAAACTGGGGCCTGGCACAGACAAGGCTGCACAGCTCAGTGACTGGCCTGAGGGAGCCAGGTGCGGACGGGTCACTACTGTGGCTCGCCACTGTGCACCTCGGAGACTGCCCACAACAAAAACAGAGACTCAGGTGCCAGCAATGTGCCATAGCAGGTCCTGCTGCCTGCAGTGCCAGCTTCTTCGAGTCCACTTATGACCCGGTTCCCTGCTAATGCCTCTGGAAAAGCAGTGGACTATGGCCCAAGCCCTTGGGTCCCTGCACCCATGTGGGAGACCCAGAAGAAGTTCCTGTGCCAGAGGACAGAAGAACTCTCTCTGTATCTCTGCCTTTCAAATCAGCTTTAAAACACAAAAATACGGATTGAGCCTGGTACCTAACAGGTAGGTAGGTAGGTTATTTCCACTCACCTGAAAATCCTGGAGTTAAGGATGCGAGTTTTCTGGCCAGTTTCTCCTTCTCCAAGCTACTGTCCAGTTTTAGTGGCCGCAGATGAACTTTGAAGATAGAGGCGCGTCCCTTTATGTCTGGTGGTCCTTCAGAAATTATTTTTAAGGAAAAAAAGTTGTCAGTCACACCTACACCATCAGAGCTGGACTGAACCTAGGGAACACCATCTCACCAATGAAGATCTGCCTGTCGAAGCGCCCTGGCCTCAACAGTGCTGGGTCCAGGATATCCGGTCGGTTGGTACCCGCCAAAATGACAACGTTTGTCGTTGTATTAAATCCTGAAAAGATAACAAAAACGTCCTCATAAAATGACATGCAGCAGAAAGCAACAGTACACCTATATAGACTCTATTAGCATGACACAAGTATAGCTGAATTAGCTACATTTTTCTAGTTATTAGTTTTCAAAGTCACAAACTTGAGTTGGTTTTGTCATTCATCTCGCCCTCAGGAATCACCTAACAGGGAGCCGGTGCTGTGGAGCAGCAAGTTCGGCTCCTGCCTGTGCCACTGGCAGCCCCAGGGAGCACCAGCTCAAGTCCTCGCTGCTCTATTTCCACTTTAACTCCGCGTTAGTGCAGGTGGGAAAGCCTGTGAAGATGGTTCAGTCTGCCCATGCGGGACACTTGGATGAGTCGTTGCTGCCGTTAGGGGAGTGAGCCAGTAGATGAAAGATTTCTCTGCTGCAGACTGGCAATGCTCAGCACTGCAGCCTGTCAACCGCAGGCACTGCAAGAGCCCGCGGAGTTCCCGTCAGAACCTAGCACCCTGAATGTGGGCTGACGGCCACAGAACAGACAAGACCACCGCCTGCTCGTGACAAGCTGTCTACCTCTGTCATCTAAGCCACATGGCCCTGTGCTTCCCTTCTCTGCGAACTGGCTTTCCTAAACCACAGACAGACTCACTGCACGGAAAGACAACTACTCTCTCTGTCAAGAGTATCTGAAATTGCCAAATTCCCACTTGGTTACACTTGAGTTTCTTTTATGCTTCAAGATCACAGATGAATTTGGTAGAGTGTCATTTCTCTGTAAGTCATTTCACCAATTTTTCTTTTATTCGATGCTTGTAACAAATATCTTTTTTAGTGGTTTTTTTTTTTAAGATTGATTGATTTATATTGGAAAGGCAGAGCTGACTATGCCAACCAATGGACACTGGAAGGATTTCCTCATCCTTGCACTGACGAGGCCAAAAGCACTTCAGAACTACCGATACTCCGGGGCAGGACCCCTGCGGTGCGTGCCACTTCAGGACCCTGGGTTGGCATCAGGAGCCGTTCCCCATGCCCAGGTACTGGGGTGGCTGGGAGGCTGGGCAGACTCACCCCCTTCATCTCCTCCTTTCCCCAAGAAACAGGAGGAGGAAACACAAAGTTTGGAAACAATGATCACACCCACTTTCTCCTAACCCTCGATCCTTCCCACCCTCATCACCTATGTAAACATCACCAAATGTGTATTTAAAAAAAAAAAAAAAAGGAAACGCTGATCTATATAGAGATAGAAAAAGATCTTCTGTCGCTGGTACACTCCCCAAGTGGTCACAATGGCTGGAGCTAAGTTGAACCACAGCCCAGGAGGGAACCAGGAGCTTCTTAGGGGCTTCCCACGCTGCTACAGGGTCACAAGGCTTTGGGCCATCCTCTACTACTTTTCCAGGACACAAGCAGGGAGATGGATGGGAAGTGGAGCTGCCAGGACAAGAACTGGTGCTCCTATGGGATCCTGGCACAGGCAAGGCGAGACTTTAGTCACTAGGCTACTGCATCAGGCCCTGTAACAAATCTTAACATGATATTGAGTTATACCAGACTGACAGGCAAGTACAGTTTGCTATTCTGTGTATTAGTATAAAATGTAGCTAACAGGGGCTGCTTTAGAGACTGTTTCTCTGGGGGGAGGGGCAGCTGTACTCAGTACCAGCATAAGGATTCTCATTTTACAGATACACAAGGCAATGAGAACATACAATTTAAAATACAGGAGGCTTTGGATTAGGCTATCAGACCTGTGGTTAAGAGACGGGTTGTGACGCCTGTGTCCCACACCCAAGTACCAGGGTTTGAGCCCCAACTCTGGCTCCTGCCTCCTGCTGTGCAGACCCTGGGAGATGGCATTGCTAGGTCCCTGCTACTCAACATGGCGCACCCAGATTAAGTTCCCAGATCCCCATCAGTTAACGCAGGCACTGGGCCCAGCGCGGTGGCCTAGCAGCTAAAGATCTTGGCTTGAACGTGCCAGGATCCTAGCAGCTCCACTTCCCATCCAGCTCCCTGCTTGTGTCCTGGGAAAGCAGTCGAGGACGGCCCAAAGCCTTGGGACCCTGCACCTGCATGGGAGACTCAGAGGGTGCTCCAGGCTCCTGGCTTCGGATTGAGCTCAGCTTTAGCCATTATGGCCATTTGGAGAGTGAATCAACGGACAGAAGATCTTCCTCTCTGTCTTTCCTCTGTATATCTGACTTTCCAACAAAAAGAAGTAAATGTTAAAATAAATGAATAAATAAACAAAACACAGAGAGAGGCTGGCCTTTTGGTGCAGCGGGTCAAGCTGCTCACTGTGACACTGGCAACCCATTACCAGAGTGCACACCGAGTCCCGTCGGCTCTGCTTCTCATCCCGCTGCCTGTTAACATGCTTGGGGGGGGCAGCGGAAGATGTCCCAGGTACTTGGGCCCCCGCACCCACGTGGGGAGCCGATATGGAGTTCCTGGTTCCTAGCTCCCGCCTGGCCCATCAATGGGGGAAGAAAGTGGTGGACGGAATAGGTCACCCCCTTCCTCTTTCCTCTTCTCTGAATCTTTAAGAGAAACAAAACAGAGGCGAGGCTACTCACCATCCATCTCCACCAGCAGCTGGTTGAGTGTGTTTTCCTGTTCACTCTGCCCACCAAAGTTGCCTCTTCCTCGCTTCCGGCCCACGGCGTCGATTTCGTCGATAAAGAGAATGCAGGGAGCGTTCTTCCGAGCCAGGGCAAATAAGTCTCGGACCTAGACAGTAAGACAGACAAGACCGAGGCCTGACAAGTGAGCGCCACTTAGCTCCTCAAGCAACACAAGCCTCAAGTTTCCCTACCTATCAAGACAAGGTTTTTATAACTTACTGTAGAGGCCATACTTAAAGGGCTACAAGTAGCAAAGGAGAAACAAAACGTGAATAAGAATAATTTGATAATTTGCTTAACCGACTCAAGGGAAACAAACATCACTCCTATAATCTCATCAATCATGTATCTGTAGAATACTAACAGTTGTTTTTCCATCAACAAATCAGGCTAACATAAAGACAACACAGTAGAGCTGTAAACTTCAGACTCAGCTGCCAAGTTCAGGCCTCCCAGTGTCACTTCACATGACTAGGAAGTCAGTAATATGTAGATTATTCACAGGTCTAGGCAAACCTTACACATAAACTAAGGCCTTTGCAAGTCCCTCTTCTGGCTGCCAGAGCAGCAGCTGGCCATCTTTATTCTCACAAGGTCTGGGCCTGTTGAGCTCATCCTGGCAGGCTACGAGCTGAGGTGGACAGAAGGTGCAGCCACTCCTGTGCCCATCTCTCACCCACCCCTTTGTCAAGCTGCAGAAAGAGGTCCGTGCCCAAGGCCCAATGTATTTCACTTATCAAGCCACCTGCTCTCCTGCCTGGACTTCTGGATTTTCATTCTTTTAACACGTCTCCTGATACAACTCAGGCACTCCTCTGACCTCGACCCACCGCCACCAGGTCCCTCAAGCTCAAGCTCATCCCTTCCCCGTCCCTAAACTGGAACTTAGCATCCTGCAAGATTCCTGACTCAACTAATTAGGTTCCTTCAACCCACAGGGAGTCCGAGATGAGTTCCTGGCTCCCAGTTTAACATGGCTCTGGTGATCATCTAGGAAGTCAGTGGAAGACAACATACTCTATCCACAGGCCAACCCCCATTATCTATCTCATTTGTTTTCTCTCAAATAATTAAAAAAAAAAAAAAAACACCCAAGGACATGTAGGTCAAAAAGGCAGAACTGAGAGCCTAGAAATAAGCCCATAATTATGGTCAAGGGTATCAAGACTAGTAACTTGGAAAGGACAGTGTTTTCAACAAAGGGTGCTGGTGCTACGAAAGCGGGCACCTACTAACAAAAGAATGAAATTAGGTCCTTACCTTGCATCACACACAGAAATTAGCTCAAAATGAATTATAGTTATGCATAGTGAGGTAACTATAAGAAATGAAACTTAAAAATAGGAAGGAAGGGGGAGAGAAAGAAAAAGAAAGGAAGGAAGGAAGGGAGGAAAGAAAGAATTTGTAGAAGGAATAAATTATTCAGGCATTAGATTTGGCAATGGTTCTTAAATATGACACCAAAAACAAAAGCAACAACAACAAAACAAGTAAGGCTTCATGAAAATTAGTAATTTTTGTGCTCTACAATCAAGAAAGTAAAAAAAAAAAAAAAAAATTCTGGCATGGTGGAATAGCAAAATCAATCTTGTACTGAGGCCCTGGCAGCCCACACAACTGCTGAGTCCAAGCTGGTCCAGCTCCCACCAGCTCCCTGCTGATGGCCTCAGAAGGCAGGAGAGGACGGCCCAAGGCCTTGGGCCTCTGCACCCACACGGGACACCTGCAAGCAGCCCCCAGCTTTGCACTGGCTCAGCTCTGGCTGCTGCAGCCCACTGGGGAGTGAACCAGTGGATAAAGCTCTCTCTCTCCCTCCCTCTGTAACTCTGGCCTTCAAGCAAAATATTTAAACCCTTAAATAAATAATAATTCAGTGAAAAGATAATATGAAGGATGAAGAAGATATCTGTCAATCATGTATCTAATCAAGAGCTACTCCTTTAACTCAACAGTAAGCAGAGAAACAATCTAGGGCAGGTTTGAACTAAGGGTTAAAATGCCTGTGATCCCTGTGGGAATGCCTGGAGTCAATTCCTGGCTCTGGCCCCCAAATCCAGCTTCCTCCTAGCACAGACTTTAAGATGCAGTGGCTGAGGCCTGGCGGCGTGGCTTAGCAGCTAAAACCCTCACCTTATATGCGCCAGGATCTCATATGGGCGCCAGTTCTAATCCCGGCAGCTCCACTTCCTATCCAGCTCCCTGCCTGTGGCCTGGGAAAGCAGTCGAGGACGGCCCAAAGCCTTGGGACCCTGCACCTGCATGGGAGACCTGGAGGAGGTTCCTGGCTCCTGCCTTTGGATCGGCACAACACTGGCTGTTGCGCTCACTTGGGGAGTGAATCATCGGATGGAAGATGTTTGTCTCTCTTCCTCTCTGTATATCTGACTTTCCAATAAAAATAAATAAATCTTTAAAAAAAAAAAAAGATGCAGCGGCTGATGGCCCGAGTGATTGGATCTGTGCCACCCATGTGGGAGACTCCAGCTGAGTTCCAGCCTCTGGTTACCGTCCTGTTCAGATCCGGTTACTGCGGGCTTTTGGGGAGTGAACAGGAAGATGGGAGCATATGTTCTGTAGCTCTCAAATAAATAAGCCAATGAATTTAAAAAAAAAAAGAAGAAGAAGAAGAAGAAGAAAAGAGGCACCACCCAATTAAAAAGAGCAAAGGGGTCCCAGCTCGGTAGCCTAGTGGCCAAAGTCCTCTCCTTGAATGCACCAGGATGCCATATGGGTGCCAGTTCTAACCCCGGCAGTTCCACTTCCCATCCAGCTCCCTGCTTGTGGCCTGGGAAAGCAGTTGAGGACGGTCAAACGCCTTGGGACCCTGCACCCGTGTGGGAGACGTGGAAGAGGTTCAGGGCTCCTGGCTTTGGATCGGCATAGCACTGACCGTAGCAGCCACTTGGAGAGTGAATAAGCAGATGGAAGATGTTCCTCTCTGTCTCCCCTCCTCTTTATATATGTCTCTGCAGTAACAATAAATAAATTTTAAAAACAAACAAAAAAAACCCAAAACAGCAAAAGGTCTAAACAGACATTTCCGTGAGTGGGACATGGAAGACGGCCAGTATGAGATGACAGATGCTCAACGTCATCAGTCATTAAGCAAATACAAATCAAATCACTTGGATGAGTGCCAGTAATAAAAGTCAGACAAAAGGAGGTAGTGATAAAAATACAAAAAAGCAGAAAACTGTTTGGGGATCATCCCAATCGAAATGCTGGACTCAGAACCCTAACCATGAAAAGACAGAACAAGTCAATCAACCACCTCAGCTATTTGTCAGCAGCAAAATACTGGGCAAATGGAGACTCCATGAGGGACTGTGTCAATCAGCGGATTCTTCAACAGCCTCATCGTGCCTGGAGTGGTGAGATTGGTAGCAATTCATAAACGGTGAACTATCAAAACCACTTGAGCAAGTATCTCAGAGCATGCCCCACATCTGGACTTGGGGTGGGTGGGAGACTGGGTGGGGCTTCTCTATCCCCCTTTACCTCAGACACATGAAGGAAACAATATGGAAATAATAGTGTTACCCACTTTCCTGTAGCCCTTGAACCTTTTTACCCTAATTAACTATGTAAAGAATGTAAAAAAAAAAAAGCAGAAAACTAAAGGCCTCACTGTTGGGAATATACACTGGTCAACAAACTGTGGAAAATTTTGACTCCTCAAAAAGTAAAATGTAGTTACCATTTAACTATTTTTTAAGCTTTTATTTATTTTTATTAGAAAGCCAGGTATACAGAGGAGGAGAGACAGAAAGGAAGATCCTCCATCTGCCAATTCACTCCCCAAGTGGCCACAACGGCTGGAGCAGAGCCAATCCGAAGCCAGCAGCCTGGAGCTTCTTCTGGGTCCCACAGCTTTGGGCCATCCTCGACTGCTTTCCCAGGCCACAAGCAGGGAGCTGGATGGGAAGTGGAGCTGCTGGGATTAGAACCAGTGCCCATTTGGGATCTTGGGGCATGCAAGGCGAGGATTTTACCATTTAACTTTAAAACACTGTGCTAACTAAAAAAAAAAGGGTCTAGCATTTCTTCTTCAGGTGATCAAAATGTTGCATAACAGATGGAGGTGGTGGCTGCTATAATCTAGGAATATACTAGAAGCTTACTGAGCTGATACTTAAAGATGGTGAGGTTTGTGGTACATTATATATGAATAAAACTACTCTAAGACGAAAAAGACTAAAGTCACTTCTGGAAACAGAAGGCTGTATTAAGGCTGTATTAAGCTACTGGTAATCATGGTTGCAGCAAAACAGTAAGTGATGAGAGGTCATGAGGGGGGTTCAAGACCAGGCCCATCCTGCCCAGTCCCCACCCTGGAGTACTGCTGTCTACACTGAGGAACCTGCACTGCTGTAGCAAACAGAACAGTACTTGGGGTGGCATCTGGCCTGGGTTCAAGCAGTTAGGGACAACTATATCAGAGCGCCTGTGTTCAACACTTGCCTCTGACTCCAGCTTCCTGCTCATGCAGCCCCCGGGAGGCAGCAGTGATAACAAGTAAACAGGTTCTTGTCACCACGCGGGAAACCAGCACGGAGCTCAGTACCAGTCACTGAGGACACGTGGGTAATGCCCTGGCACCACTCTATCTACCTCCCTCTCTTCCGCTGTCTGCTCTCCAATAACAAAGACACAATAATAATAATAACAGTAACAACAATAATGGAGAACACAGGGCTTACCCTAGCTGGACCCACACCGACAAACATCTCCAAAAACTCAGATCCACTAACAGTGATGAAGGGGACGTTGGCTTCTCCAGCTGTGGCCTTAGCTAGCAGTGTCTTCCCAGTACCCGGAGGACCAGTGAGAATGGCACCCTTCAGACATGAAAAAAGAGAAATCACAATTAATTCAAATTTCAGCAAAATAAACTATAGATCCATACAATGTCAAGGTCTGTCTCTAAATCTTATTGATATATATTTACAAATTTCAACATTTAAGCTCTGGTAGAATATTTTTATGTTAGTAATAAGAATAAGAAAAGAGGGTCTGGTACAATGATTCAATCGACTGATCCTCCCCCTAATAAGCGCCAGGGATCCCCCACATGGGTGACTGTTCATACCCCGAGTGCTCCACTTCCCTTCCAGCTCCCTGCTTACGGTTTGAGAAAGTAGCTGAGGATGGCCAAAGTCTTGGGACCTGTACCCACGTGGGGGACTAGAGAAGGCCCTTGGCTCCTGGCTTCGGATTGGCTCAGCTCTGGCCATTGTGACCATTTGGGAAGTGAAACAGTAGACAAAGGATCTTTCTGTTTCTCCTCTCTGCATATCCGACTTTGTAATAAAAATAAATAAATCTTTTAAAAAAATAAGAATTAGAAACAATTTTATTTAAAAAAAAAAATCAGTAAGAATGTCAAATCTTATGTATTTCTCATTTACAAGTTTTAGTGTTGCTTTTCAGGCCTTTACTTCAGCAGAGGTACTACTCAGGGGCCAGTACTGTGCTATGTGGGGTTAAGCTCTGCCTGAGAGGTCAGCAGCCCACATGGACAGCAGCTCAAGACCCGGAAGCGCCATTTCCAATACAGCTTCCTGCTAGGTCCCTGGGAAACAGAGGAAGCCTGCACAAGAGCTTGAGGCCTTACACACATGGTAGAGCCTCAGAAAGTTCCAGGCTCCTGGGTTCAGCCTGCAATAGCCCCAGCCGTATGGCCACTGGAGGAATGAACCAGCAGATGGAAGACCTGTTTCTTCCCCTTCTTTATAACAAATCCTTCAAATAAACAACAACAATAACAATATTTAAAAAATAATAAGTTTAGAGACAGGTGTAGGAGTGTAGCAACGTAAGTTGCTGCTCGGGATGCCTATAATTCACACTGGATAGTTCAAATCCTGACTACTGTCTCTGATTTAGCTTCCAGTTCATGCACCTGAGAAACAGAAGATGATGGCCCGAGGACCCAGCCCTGCCAGCCACGTGGTACTCCAGGATGGAGTTTGGGGCTTCTGGTTTCAGCCTGGCCCAAATTTGGGCTGCGGCAGTCACTTGGGGCACGAATCAGTAGATGAAAAGATCTCCACCATTCTACCTTTCATGTTTGGCCCAACTGCTCAGACACCAGTATCTCCTATCACAGTGCCTAGGGGCTCCTGGTGAAGTCCATCCTGGGAGACAGGAGATAATGGTTCAAGTGGCTGAGTCCCTGTCACCCGCACGGGGGGCCTGGACTGGGTTCCTGGCTCCTGGCTGAGGCCTGGCCCAGCCCCGGTGGTTGTGGGCACCTGGAGGATGAAGTGGCAGATGCGAGCCCTCTCAAGCTGCCTCTCAGATAAGTATAGACATTAAAAAAGGAAGGGAGGGAGGGAGACAAATTTACTTTGATCCAAAAAAACTTCTGAAATCTGTACACAATTTTCTCACAGTATCACCTTCCATAAAATTTGTAAAGATCCCTCAGATTAATGTTGAGTTAAGCTAGAACTTGGTTACGTAAGTCAAGGAGACATGAGAACCACATTCTAAGTTTACATCTGGCCTTTGAACTCAAAACAGCAAAATCAGTCCCTAACTTCCATCGCGTACAAGACAGTGCTGAGTTTAATTGTTCTCCATCACGGGATCAGCTACAAACTGTCCTGCTTTTTCACCCATACACTGTCCTGCTACCCTCTGCAGAGGCTGGCTAGATTTTGTGACAGAACTGCAAGGCACTATTTCCTAGCTTCATACATAAAGCAAAAATCTAATCATCAATGATGAATCTTATTTTCTTTTTGAAGATTGATTTATTTGCAACGTTTGTCCCCCAATGATGAAAAAAAAAAATAATGTTTGCTTAAACCATATAAACCTGCTGAGGTGGGCCCAAAGCAGTTGCCTAGCAGCTAAAGTCCTCACCTTGAATGCACTGGGATCCCATATGGGGCACTGGTTCTAATCCCGACAGTCCCGCTTTCCATCCAGTTACCTGCTTGTGACCTGGGAAAGCAGTCGAGGATGGCCCAAAGCCTTGGGACCCTGCACCTGCGTGGGAGACCTGGAGGAAGTTCCTGGCTCCTGGCTTCAGACTGGCACAGTATTGGCCGTTGTTGCCACTTCGGGAGTGAATCATTGGACAGAAGATCTTCCTCTCTGTCTCTCCTCCTCTCTGCATATCTGACTTTGTAATAAAAATAAATCTTAAAAAACAAACAAACAAAAAACCAAAAAACAAACACCTGCTGAGGTCAGTACTGTGGCAAAGCAGGTACAGCCACTGCCTGTAACACTGGCAACCCGAGTGCCAATTCACATCCTGGCCGCGCCACTTCTGCTCCAGCTCCCTGCTGTACACCCTGGGGACTGGCCTGGCCCTGGCACTGCAGCTATCCAGGGAGTGCTTCCCTCTCTAACTCTGTCAAATGAATAAATCTTCCTGGCTCCCTGGTGGTCTACTGGCTAGGGTTCGATGCTTTCGAATAAATAAATCTTCAAAACTAAAAAGCATAAAAATTATTTTAAATTATAGAGAAGCCTTGTATGATGAGTAAACACTAAATACAGATACACACACACACACACATATATACATACACATATTCAGATTTATTTACTTGAAAGGCAGAGTAAGACACAGAGAGGGAGAGTCAGCTTTTCCACCTGCTGCTTCACACCCAGGGTTCGGCCAGGAAAGGCAGGAGCCTGGAACTCGGTCTGGATCTTGCGCTGGAAGGCAGGGCCCAGGGCCTGGGGCTTTCCTGCACTGCTCTCCAGGGGCGTTAGCAAGGAGCTGGATCGGAAGAGCAGTCAGGCCTCAAGCTGGAGCTCACGTGGGCTGCCACCGACACAGCAGCAGCCTTACGCACTAAGCCACATGCCATGCTTAAAGCACAGAAAGCTGTGAAACTGTACAACATGAGCTTTTATCCACATAGGTAGGAAATGAAAATTAAAGAAGTAACAAATTCTTATACAAAGGAATCATTTAAAGTAGACTTTTAATACTGGATTTTAAAAAGTAAACTTAGGTACTTGTTTATATATATATATATAAAAAGCAGAGATATAGACCCTGAGACATAAAGTTCCCACCCACTGGCTCATTCTCCAATGCCCACAACAGCCAGGGCTGAACTGAGCCCAAACTGGGAGTCAAGGACTCAGCTCAGTCCCGGTTTCCACAAAGCTGGCAGCATCCCAAGTACTTGAGCCATCCTCTGCTGCCTCCCAGGTCTGCATGAGCACGCAGCTGGAACCTGGAGCAAGCTCAAGGTTCAGTTCAGGTGCTACGATATGAAATGTGGACATCCCAATCAGTATATTAACCAAGCAACCATACCCCATCCCAAACACTGCTTCCTTATTTGCTTAATACGAAGCTACTATTCATTCACCAAATAGGAAGCGCTGTTCTGTGCCTATACCTAGCCCAGGGCACAAAGCCCAGGAAGGCCGGGGCCCCTGGCACTAGCGGAGGGACTACAGATCCATCTGCTGGAAGACAGGACAGCGCACTGTCCTGTGCCATGAGCCAGCCTCCAGGCCAAAACAGGCAGACTGTACACACCCATCTGTGAATAACAGCCGAGTGCAGTGTGCTGAGGGAGCCTTAAAAGCTTGCAGCTTCAGAGATGGGGAAAAGGAAGACAAATCAAGCCTTCAAGAGGAAACAACACAATAGTTTCAGAAACACACATGAGCCATGCACTGAGACATCCAGAAAACCAACTCCAAAACACTCCTGAGCCACTGAAGTACTTCCAAATAAAAGGACAAGTAGTTTCTGCCAGTGCAAGCACCTGGCTTCCTCCAGTGGGGGCAGGCTCCTAGGGGCCTGAGGGATGGCGCCAGCCAGGGCGTGCGGGCACCTGGGGGCTCTTGCCCAGGCAGGCAGAGCAAGCATGGCGATTTCTGCATGTGCTTGATCCTGGGGTGGGGGGGGGTGGGGGGAAAGAAGGGGGGGACTTTGGGAACTATGAAGCTTGGATGGGAGGAGGGGGAGGCAGGGTTGCTGGCCAGCATGCCACCCCACCAGAACAACGGACTAGGGAAGTGACCCCATGCACTCCCAGGCGCAGGGACTGTGGACTGCTCAGGGAAGCGAGTATGGGATGTGGCGGAGGGACGACCATCGAAGGAGTATGCTGCAGGTGAGGAAGGACTTCTACCGACAACGCCACTGTACTTGCAGGTAAGTGAGGGGGCCGAGACCGGGTGTTGTGGAGGAGGGAAGCTGGAGGACCTTTCCGGGACAGACCAATGCACCTGCCCACGTGAGACCTGAGCTGGGCTAGTTAGCATTGATCACCTCTGACCACCACTAACAGGCACACACAAAAACAAGGGCTTGGGGCACACTTGGCAGGGCTAGATCCCAGTACACTGGTGGTGTCAGAACAGGGGACGGTAATGTTAGGTTGGGCCATGACACTAACCAGCACATGAGAGAACCAGGTCTGGGGGTAGATTCTATGGGCTCAGCCCCCTGTAAAACTGCAATGTCCACTGGTTTGCTCAAGAGCTGGGGGCAGTGATCGGCCAAGTCAGGCATAACCATGGAGCACCAAAACATTTATGGATATTGGGGTTGGAAACAGGTCAGTCTAGTCTAAGCTGCAACACCTGTAGGCATAACCAAGAATAGGGTGGTGGCACAACACACACACCGACTCACATAAAGGCCAAGAAAGAGGGGACAGACTATACCAGGCAAGGGCCTAGCACCCCACAGCACATGTGTGATCTGGGTCTGGGAGCGGGCCTTGAGAGTGAACTTGGGAAACTCCCACTGGTGAGCACGTGATTCAGGCATGGGTGTTGGTCAGCTGGGCAAGGCAGCTTTACTTGATGGCAAATGTGTGCGCTGGATCTGGGGAGGGGGTGGACTGGCATGTGCAGGAGCCAGGCTGGAGCGTAGGCAATACTGGGCTAGGTTATCACACCTACTGGTTTGCATGAAAGCCAGGGATGGGGCAGACTGGGCAGGGCTAGGCTGCAGCACCCACCAGCAAGAGTTCAAATTGGGAGTGGACCAGAACAGGCTAGGCTGCAACACTGGCTGGCAAATGCTGAGGTGAGGCAGGTCATGCCAGACTGGGCAACAGCATGAACTAATACACACAAGACCTAGGGTGGGGATGAGTCCAGTAGAGGGGCAGCAAGGCCTCCTTGCTGAGCCATTGGTAAGCATGAGAGCTGGGACTCAGGACAGATCAGGTTAGGCAGGGCTACAATACCCATTGGCCTGCACGTGAGCTGGATTATGGGGAGAGTCAGACTGGGCTAGGAGACTATATTCACTGGCACATGCATGAGCCAAAGTAAGTACAGGCTGCTCGGGCTTGAAAACAGCATCAGCTGGCAAGTGCCAGGATTGGGAGCAAGTCCTGTCAAGCTAGACTACCCAACACCTGGAATGTGCAAGGTCTGGGGCTGGGAGCGGGTCTAGTAGGGAAACTGTAGGAACCCTTCTGATGGGCTGCAGCTCCCACTGTTGCACGTGAGAACCAGGGCTGGGGACAGGCCTGGCTGGACAGGTGGTAGCACCCACTGGCTCTAGTGTGGGCTGGACAGTGGGGTTTGTCAAGCTGAGCTAAGCAGCAGCATTCACTATTATGTACAAAAGCTGAATGGTTATGGGACAGACTGAACCAGTCTGTTGCACAAACCAGCATGCACAGGAACCAGGGCTAGGTGAGGCCTGGTGGGGGTTATTGGGGGTTGTTCTGACTGGTCTGCAGTTCTCACTGGTATACATGAGCGCCGAGTTGTGTGGCAGGGTCGGGTTGGGCCACAGCATCCACTGGTTTGTGTAAGTCACGGGGCTGGAGACAGAAATGACCCAGCAAACTGCAACCACCAGTGTGTGTGTAGGATTATGTGGGTGACAGACTGAACCAGACCCTATACTGACTAGGACACACAAGAGTTAGGTCTGGGGTCAGTCACTTTAGACGAGGTTTCTTTGGGGACTGCACCTCCACTCCTGAACTTCTGAACTCAGAACTACAATCAAGGGGAGACTCACAGAAGCTATTGTCTAACCATAGAGCACATGTGTCAGAACTGGGCCTACTCTGTTGCTAATATGGTACAGTGGATGGCATGTCAGATACATACAGGGATAAGGCAGTCTACTGGGACTGGCAGAGGACATCTAGTACCACAGCACAAGATGAAGAGTAGGACAAATTGGACAAGCAGCCAAGCATTGAGAGCAAGTATCTGGGCAAACGGAGACTCTAAGATGGACTATGTCAGCCAATGAACGTTGGGAGGATTTCCTCATCCTTGGGGCAATGAAATCAACAGCATTTCAGAACTATCCAAACCACTTGAGCAGAAGCCTCGGAGAAGGCTCCACTTCAGGGACCCTGGGATGACACCAGCTGGCCATCCCCATTCCTGAGTACGGATGCAGTTAGGATGCGGGAGTGGCTCCGCCCCTTCTCTCCCTACTTTCCCACACAGGAAGAAGAAAACTGGAAACAATGGCCTCATCCACTGTGACTTGTTCCTTGACCCTTCCCACCCTAACCAGTGGTCCACATGCACACGCATCCTTCTCAAGTACGTAAACATCATGAAAAAAACAATAAAGATAAAAGGACAAATAACCAAACTTCTAAAATGATTGCAGAGATCTTTGAATACTCCAAAACACTTTTGTGTTAATCATTTGAAAGTTCATTTTACCTTTGGAATTTTTGCTCCAAGGTCTTGATACTGTTTGGGGTTTTTCAAGAAATTCACAAATTCCATGATCTCCAGCTTGGCCTCCTCACAGCCAGCGACATCTTTGAACTTCACATCTATCTCATCCTTCAAGACCTTGGCAGTGGTTTCTCCAACACTGAAGAGGCCACCCATGCCCCGGCCACCTCGCCCGATGCCAGCAGGGCCTCTTCTGATGGTGTACAGCAAGAAGGCAATGATGAGCGCTGTGGGCAGCATGCTCAGCAGGAAGGAGCTGCAGGGACAGCACACCGTGTGAATGCTCTTACGCCGGAGACAGAATCACAGGAATTCAATTTCATTCCTATCAATAGCTGCCATTTACATACTATTGTAAATGATTACTATTACATCTGAAATTCAATGACATTTCATATTATTCACTTCAGAAGTTTAACATGGGAGGAGGACATTTAGCCTGCATTTCAGATGTCCGTCTCCCACATCAGGTAATCTGGGCCCGATTCCTGGTTCTGATTCCTGATTCCAGCTTCCTGCGAATGCACAACCTTGGGGGCAGCAGACAATGGCTCAAGGACTGGGTTCCTGCCATCCACACCGAGCAGACCAGGATCGACTTCCTGCTTCCTGGCTTTGGCCTAAGCCAGTCCCAGCCATCGTGGGCATTTAGGACATGAATCAGCAGACAATGCTTCTCTAATAAATAATAAAAGAGAGAAATGTAATGTCATTTTTTCAGTGACCCCAGTGTTAGTCTGGGCAGAAATTCCAGTTTCCTTATGGGGCTGTATCAATGTAACCTGAAGACATGTCTTCCCAATATCAAATCCTCGCTAACTGAACAGCATGTGGGTTTCAGAAGTAAACACACCACAGCTGCAGCCTCGTGTAGGAGCCACTTTACATGCGCAGACTCCAACCTGCTGCCCGCTGTGAGGAAGCAGCTCAGGACGACCTGCAGCCGAGGTGTCCTCTGTCTTGTCTGTCTCAATAAAGTTATTTCAACAACAGTACAGGTACAGATACAGGCTTGTATTTAGTACAATGCAGTTCAGTTTAACTCATACTAAGAAATTATTTTTTTAAAAGATATATTTGGGGCCCGGCGCGGTGGCGCAAGTGGTTAAAGGTCCTCGCCTTGCACGCCCGGGATCCCATATGGGCGCCGGTTCTAATCCCGGCAGCCCCGCTTCCCTTCCTGCTCCCTGCCTGTGGCCCGGGAAAGCAGCAGAGGACGGCCCAAGGCTTTGGGACCCTGCGCCCGCGTGGGAGACCCGGAAGAGGCTCCTGGCTTCGGATTGGCATAGTATCGGCCCGTTGCGCTCACTTTGGGAGTGAATCATCGGATGGAAGATCTTCCTCTCTGTCTCTCCTTTCTGTATATCCGCCTTTCCAATAAAAATCAATAATAAAAATAAACCTTAAAAAAAAAAAAAGGTATATTTGGAAACAGGGAAACGGGGAAAGAGAGAGATCTTCCATTCACTGGTTCACTCCCTAGATGGCTACAAGGTCCAGGCTTCTGCCAGGCCTACTCCAGGAGCGTCTTCCAGGGTTCCTGTGAGGGCAGCAGTGACCCAGGCACCTGGGCCATCTTCCACTGCCCCATCCACTGGCACGGAGTGGTATGGAAAACTCAGCAGCCGGAACAAAAATCAGCATCCATATGATTTGCCAGTACTGCAGGTGGCACCTTTACCCATTAGGCCATAATGCTAGCTCATAAACTAAGAAACTTGAATCAAAACTTGGTACATGGTTTATGCAAAAATCCAAACAAAACAAAAAACCATAAAGCCTGGCTACACTTTCTGATTTTCATTTAGCATGGAATGGTACAGGGCTGGTGCTGTGATGTGGTCGGTTCAGCCTCCCTCTGTGGTACCATCATCTCCTACGGGGGCTGGTTTGGGTTCTGATGCAGCTCCTTGCTAGTGTGCCCTGGAAGGCATCAAGGGATGGCTCAAGTCCTCAGGCCCCTGCACCCATGTGGGAGATCTGGAAGGTCCAGGTTCCTGACTTCAGACTAGCACAGCACAAGCTGTTTGGGGGGTAAACCAATGAACAGAAGATTTGTCTCTGTAAACTCAACTTTCAAATAATAAAAAAGTGGTACCATAAAAAATTTTACAAATTGTGAGCAATCATAACTTAAAAATCTCAAATTCAAGGCTGCAGAAGTTTGAACAGCCCGCTGTAACGCTAGCATTCCACCTAAGAATGAGTGCCGCTGTGAGTCCCAGCAGCTCCACTTCTGATCTGGCTCCTGAGAGAGAAGATGGCCCAAGTTCCTGTGCCTGTCATCCACGCAGGAGACCAGTCTGGAGGTCTGGACTCCTGCTGCAGCCCAGCAGAGTACTGACTGCTGTGGCCATTTGGGAAACGAGCCAACAGACACACGATTTCTCTCTTCCTCTCTCTGTACCGCTGCCCTTCAAATAAATAAATCTCTTCAAACATAATAAAAATCAAAAATCTGTGAAACTGAATTTCTTGCAGCATACTGTCCCAACGGTTTCAGATCTCAGATTTTTAAATTAGGGATGCTCAATCAGGAAAGTCTATGCAAATATTCCGAAACACCAAACACTCTGGTCTCAAGCATTAGACAAGAGGTATTCAACCTGCATGTTTTACTAACAACTTAGAAAGTTAAGTATGGCTTATAGCACAGGCCAGGTCAACCATCACAGCAGCCCCAGCGATTCATACACTGCAGGTAAAGTATAGGCCTTCATCAAGGCTCCAGAAATTTCTAAATCTAATACCACCATGCAGTAATACTTAAAGTTGTGTGTGTTTTCTCCAAATAACCTCCAAGACTAAAAATAAAAGCAGCAGCCACTTAAGTTGCTAAGTGGGGTTACTAATGACAACCTCTAAAGGAAAAGCAACCCTGAGGAGAGAATTATCTAAAAATACTGGAAAAAGCTGAAATAATTAGGAGGTAAGAACGACCAGTCTTTGGCAAAAAGGGGCTCATTATGCCAAGACTTGGCTGAAGGATGATACCATTCATGTTAATATCCCAAACCACTACTTAGGCAAGACAGATATAAAAATGAGGGAGTTTTGTATAAAATGAGTAAGCTATAAATGGTTTGTAAACAAACAAAAACAACTGTGGGGGTCAAATTAGTGACCCAGCAGGTTAGGTTCACCCTTGGGACCTCTACATCCTGTGCCAGTAGGCTGGCTTACTGTTCTGGCACTTGTACTTCTGGGTCAGCTTCCTGCTTATCCACCCTCACGTGCTTGGGCTCCTGCCTCCCATGTCAGGGCCCCATTCGGAGTTCCAGGTCCTAGCTTCAGCCTGGCTCACAACCCAGCCGTAGCACACATTCAAAGAACGAGACTGAAGATCCTTCTCCCTCTTTCTCTGCTGATGTGCCTTTCAACACATGGAAAAAAAAAACGAAAACAAAAACAAAACAAAACAGAATCTGATTCAACTAAGAAAGGTGTGCTTCATTTAATATGCAATCCTGCCACTTGGTAACATACAGCACACGGAGCCAGGACAGCACGGCAAAGCCTTCAGTGGGCATTTTGAAAACATCTTACCCATCACTTTCCGCAATGTAGACGACGGGCACCCGGTTTTCCCCTTCTATGCCCAATTCTTGCTGTAGAGTTTCCAGATTCCGCTCAAAAGTGTCTACACTGCCAATGTTAAACCAGACGTACTGCTACAAAACCAGAGAGACAAACACAGTAAGGATGAAGTACAACCGAAGGTTAACCGCACGAAAAGGTTCAACTGTTTAGATTTACAAATTAGAAACAAGAAGCTGATTACAATGGTGTAGGACTCAAGTTCACTGAGAATATGTAGTGGTCCTTTAAAAAGATTTTTCAGTCTTCAAAGTGATGAACACAATGGAACAAAACCCATGGGAAAAGCTTTTCTTCCATTTTCCATCTGCTCCTTCCCAAACGAAAAATCGATCTGATACATCGACAAGTGACACTCCCTGAGCATTCCCTAGGTGCCAGGCACCATGCTAAGCCCTGTATAGGCCTTGACTCACTCTGGGAGGCAAGCGCTAGCTGAGGACAATGTCCAATCTGAACAACTGGACATGCCAGCACTGTCCAATCTGAAGCCAAGCGCCAGGCTGTGCCAGGAGTTCCCATCCCATTCCCTGGGGCTTGGGGCTCCAGTAGGCCTTCAGGATCCCAGGATCCCTGAGGGCTTGGGGCACAGTCATCCCTGAGTATCCATGGGCATAGGAAATGGCTTCGAAGACCCACAGAGATAGCAAAATCTGCAGATTCTCAAGTCCCGTATACCAAATGGTAAAGAGAGCCTGGTCCAGTAGCCTAGTGGCTAAAATCCTCGCCTTGCATGTGCTGGGATCCCCTAAGGCTGCTGGTTCGTATCCCGACTGCTCCACTTCCATTCCAGCTCACTGCTTGTGGCATGGGAAAGCAGTCGAGCACAGCCCAAAGCCTTGGGGCCCTGTACCCACATGGGAGATCTAGAAGACACTTCTGGCTCCTGGCTTCAGATGGGTTTAGCTCCAGTCACTGCAGCCACTTGGGGAATAAATTGGCAGACAGAAGATCTTCCTCTCTGTCTCTCCTCCTCTCTGTAAATCTGACTGTGCAATAAAAACAAACAAATGTTTCAAAAAAAAAAAAAATGGTAAAGGACCTGTGCATCACCGACCCACATCCTCCTGTATACTTCAAGCCATTCAGAGATGACTCTTAACTGTTACTACAAAGTAAGTGTTACATAAATCACACATACACGCTATTGTTTAGGGAGTAACAGAGAAGTTCATAACATGCATTACAAATATCACCTTTTTTTTCACATTTTTAAAATCTGAAGTTGAATGAACCCGTGGAGGTAAAGGATTATCTTCCATACTCTACCAGTGTCTACCTGCTGAGTATCGAGCCCCAATCCCCACAGATGAGGAAGCCACGGGGACTCCACTTGCCCACAATTACACAACAAGGCTAGGACCTGAATCAGACAGTGTGGGACCAGGGCCAGTGCAGTGACCGCTGTACCACACCGCGGCACCACTGGCACAACCAGAAGACACTAAAGTAACAACTTACATTTACGCAGTTTCAACAGCTACAAGACCCTGTCCAAGGACAGTGCAAGAATTAGTCCCATTTTATAACTCAAAAAGTTTATTCCCCCTTTTACCTGCAGTAATCTTAAATAGTGGCATTAAAAAAATATCAAAACATTAAGTTTAAGATCAGAGAACAGGTCATTGATATCCCTACCAGCAATCAGTGGAACTAAGCAGAGGACAGCTCTCTGGGTATTGCCCTCCACATACAAGAGGACTTGAGCAAGTCCAAGAGGGACAAACGGCTAGCACAGCGGGTGGAATGTCCACGACCCACAATCACGTACCTGGGTCTCGTACCCAGCCTGGCTTCCTAGCTCAGCTTCCTAGTGGTGATGGCTCAAGAAACTGGGCTCCTGCTACCGACACGGGACAGACCTGGGTGGAGTTTCCAACCCTGGTCAAACTTCAACTACTACAAGCATTTAAGCCCTGGAAATGCAACTCAGATAAATAAACAAATAAATGGTCTCCCCCTCCCACAAAATCGTACTGAAATCCATCCATACAAAGTCTTGAAGTTAACAAAACTGTATATTATATATATAAAAAAAACATAGAAACATCAAAACAAACTTCATTTCGTTTCTCATGAACTGTTTGAAGTTCCCTGTTATCTAAGAAAATATACAGTACGCTTACAGTCAGGTAACAACAGCTCTTGGTAAACTCTTCACTGACAAGGATAAAAAAAAAACGTCATGTGGTTACATGCCCCCAAACACATACAAACACAGTCCAACAATGATAACATTCTCTAATGCAACACATGATGTCAGCTGGCCAAAATGCCAAATGCACAGGGCATCGGTGCAGACCAAGGGCCAGCAGCACATGCATCAACCCACGGCATGGTACAAATCTGGATTCTCAGGACAAAACCCAGAGAAGATCCTCTAGGACAGACGGTGGTCCTAGCACCCAGGGATTCTCACGGACGGTGAAGACTGAATCCACCTGTCACACCTACCACCTTACTGCTATGGCTTGAGCAGGTTCTAGCTCCTCAAACCTGCTACAACAGCCACCAGTGAAAGCCACAATTGGTGCAGGCCAACTGAGTCAGGCCAGTGAGTGTCAGGACTGGAGGATGGCCACATCTTGCTGGGCCAGAGCAGCAGCCAGAACAGCAAGATCAGGGCCTGGTAGAGCAACGTGTGGAACTCCCCTGCCAGGCTGCAGCTCATACCAGTTAGCACAAGAGCCAGGGATGGCGGTGGAGAGGCTGGGCAAGGCAGTAGCACCCACAGACATGCACGTGGGCTGGGTCCGGGGGCAGATTGGGCTGATCTAAGCTGCAGCGCCCATGGGTGTGCACAACAGCCAGATGGGATATGGGACAGACTGGGCTAGGTCACAGCACATTGCTGGCACACCTGATTATCTACCAAAAACAAACCACTGACCCAATCACCAGATCACCGATATACAATGCTCACATGTTCACTTAGGCTAGTGGGTCTCACACAAGCGCATCCAACACACATCTCCACCACAACGCGAAGGATGTTGACTTCTCACGTTAAATCGGAAAAGCTAATTTACTACTCACTCACACCAATTAATAAAATCAGTTACCCCATCAACCGGCGTTTTTCCTGGTATAAAGGTCACTCGAACAAAACGTTTGTTGACGACTTCCAGTCTGTCTACCTAGAATTTTAAAAAGTTAGATAATCAACATAAATTTACAGGGAAGACTATTTTTCTAAGATCACATAACAGGAAACAAAATCGCATAAGAAACATGACAACTGAGACATACAAAAAATAAAGAAATTAATCTGATTAACCACCCGCAGCTCCCCCCCAGGAACTATCATTCTCTTTCAGGGGCTGAAATGACTCAGAACATATCCTGTCACTTGGACTGCACACCTATGTAACCCAAGTGACAGCTACACTCTATTCTGTATCTGTGGGTTGTTGTTTTTCTCTTCTATATATATATATATATTATATTTGAAAATCAGAGTTAGAAAGGAGACATAGAGAAAGAAGCCTCTCAGCTGATGGTTCACTCCCATCAATGGAGTGAACTACAATGGCCAGGCCAAAACCAGGAGCTTCATCTTGTTCTCTGAGATGGGTGCAGGGACCCAAGGATTCGGGCCATCTTTCACTGCTCTTGCCAGGCCAATGGCAGGGAGCTGGAACACCAACCCAGCGCCCACAGGAGATGCCAGTGTTGGAGCTTTACTCATTATGCCACCACACCAGCCCCATCTGGTGTTTTTAAACCTTCATATGGTCTCATTTTGTACACATTCTTCTACCCATTTGCTCTTCCTCTGGTCATTACATTTATGAGGTCCACCCATGCTGACATTTCCCAACGGTGCAGCCGTTTGAGGCAGTGACCCAGCGGATAGAAGATCTCTTTCTATCTTTCTCTCTCTCTGGCTCACTCTGCCTTTCAAGTAAGTAAATCACAGTAAGTCCTTTACTGAAGGACCCGCTCCTGATTCCTGCTAATGTCAACCCCCGAGGCAGTAGCAATGGCTCAATTAACTGGGCTCCTGCAATCCACACAGCAGACCTTCACTGACTCTCTTAGCCCTGCCTTCGGCTTAGCACAGCCCTGACTAGTGCGCACATTCTGGGGAGTAAACCAGTAGATGGGATCCCTCCACCTTTGAAATTAACTCATTTTTTAAAGCATAAACATACATGCAAGTATTAATGAGGATATGGAGAAATTCCAATTCTTGTTGGTAGGAATATAAATGCATATAGTACTATGGAGAACAGTGTAGTGACGCCTTAAAAAAATTAACATTAGATTTACCATTATGATCCAGCATTTCTACTTTTGAAAAATGCCCCCCAAAAATTCAGAGTAGGTACTCCAAGGGCGGCACCCCATGTTCACAGTAGCTAAACAAGTAAGTAACCTCAGTGTCTGCTGCAGATGAAGAGCTAAGCAAAACGTGGCACGTACGTACAACTGATCCCAGTCAGCCGTCAAGTCACATCCTGACACAGGCTACGGCACGGCTGAACCTTCTGGATGGTGTGCTACATCATAACAAGACAGCTCTGATTTTACTTATTTGAGGACAGAGAGCATTTAAAATCAGAGAAACAGAAAGCAGAACGCCTGCCGCTAGGAACTGAGGGAGCAGAAGCTGTAGCTCCCAAGCAGAGGAGGAGGTAGATGACGATATAGGGTGCACTTTAAGAATGTATTTACTATCTAACTATATACCTAAAAACAATTAAGATAGTAGATTTTAGGTTATGTATCTTACCACAATAAAAAATACGGGCAGAGATGGCAAGCACGAAAGAGATCGCTGCATGCCAATCTCACGTAAGGAACTCCTAGGACGAGCGCCGTAGCACGGCACACTGAACTACCACTTGGGATGTCGAACCGTGTACCTGAACGCCTACGCCTAGTTCAAGTCCTGACTGTGGGGCTTCTGATTTGGCTTCCAGCTTTGGGTATCCTGGGAGGTGGCAGGTGCTCTGATGGAGTTACAGGCTCCTGAGTTTGAGGTGACCCAACCCTGAAAACCTCACACACTTTGGGAGTGAAAGAGTAGGTGTCTTTCACTTTCTATTTCTTCAAATAAATGAAAACAAGTGAATACAAATTACTTTTAAAAATAAATGATTATCACATTAACATATCACATAAGGGGGAAAAGCATAATTTCAACAGATAGTCAACACAGTTGAAAAAAACTCCATGCTCATTCCTAAAGCTAAGGCTACTTTCTCAATGCAATAAAAAAGCACCCACTGGAGAACACGGCTCTTACCACAATGATGAAATCCTACTAGCCAGTACATTTAAAATCAACAACAAAGCATGACTTCCAAGCACCTCTATTCTTCTGTCTGACTTCTTACTAAGACACCGAGCAGACTGTTTCAGTATTTCTCCCATAATGGACATCCACTTGGTTTCTCCCGTCCCCCAACTCTGGAGTGTTTACTCTGAGAACATTAGGATTAAGAACTGCTGACGTGGGTTAAGCCTGTCTATACATAGTGCCACGCAAAGTACATGAAAAATGTACTGTTAAGAGAACCTTCATATGGTAATATTGAGCACTGTCATAGCAAATCTGGTTTCTTGCTTTGAATCTATACTTGTTTATGAAAGTGACGTCTGTCGTGTTTTATTCTGTTTCTCTCTACCATTCACATTTCTTCTTTATAACTAAGTTATGTCCTTTGCTCCATTCAACTGAACACTTACTTTTTACTCTGTTTTCTTGGTCTTTATTATTTTCAGTATTTATTTATCTGTTTGAAAGTGTTACAGTCAGAGAGATCTGTTGTTTCACTCCCTGGATGGCTGCAAGGGCCTGAGCTCAGTCAGTGCAAAGCCAGGAGCCAGGAGCCTCTTCTAGGTATCCCACATGGATGCAGGGGCCCAAGCGCATTCACAGGGAGCCGGATCAGAGCAGCAGCCAGGACTCATTCCAGCATTCACATGGGACGCTGGTGCTGCAGGCAGGCCGTGGCTTTCTCTATCCCACCAAGAACTGGCCCCAGCTAACACAGCCTCATGAGGATTATTGAGTGGTAATATATAATCAGGACTTGGGGCCTGGCGCGGTGGCGCAGTGGTTAAGGTCCTCGCCTTGCATGCCCGGGATCCCATATGGGCACCGGTTCTAATCCTGGCGGCCCCGCTTCCCATCCAGCTCCCTGCCTGTGGCCCGGGAAAGCAGTCGAGGACGGCCCAAAGCTTTGGGACCCTGCATCCACGTGGGAGACCCGGAAGAGGTTCCTGGCTTCGGATTGGCTCGGCTCCAGTCGTTGCGGCCACCTGGGGAGTGAATCATCGGATGGAAGATCTTCCTCTCTGTCTCTCCTCTCTGTACATCCGCCTTTCCAATAAAAATAAAATAAATCTTAAAAAAAAATATGTAATCAGGACTTGTACTCTGAAAATAAAGACGCTAAAGGAAAGACATCTGGATAACCATTTCTTCCATCCTCACTCACTTATGCAACCTCGGAGTAGCTTAGAATTTAAAAAAATATTTTAAAATTTTAATACCATTTCTTTCTTCTACCCATTTCACTGATAAAAACCAAGCACTGAGAGGTGAGCCAACGCTCCAAGGTGACACAACAGGACCAGTACTGGTTCTCCTGTTATCAAGACATTTCATCGATTCTAAGATGCACACTGTTCATATTGAAAATCTCAGAAATTCGTATCCAATTTAAAAATTAGTGCATCATAGTTTACTGATAGCTCATTGAATTTTTGTTGGTAACACGCAACAGAACACGTTTCTGATAATCACCAGCATCTTAAACATGCTGAAAGACAATCTCACCTGGGCGAAGAGCCAGCAGGTGGTGACCAAGACTCCTACCAAACAGAGTCCGCACTCTCTCCTGAGGCCTTCCTGGGGAGCTTGTCTGCTCTAACTACACGATTGACTAGCACAGGATACTGAAAATAGTGAAGACATGACAAAGCTGAGGAAGGCTGACTGGCACACAGCCGCACTGAAGAGGCAGCTGAGGCACACGAGGAGATGACGGGATGGAAGGCTGCCTGGACCGCTGCCAGCAGTCACACTTCTAAAACCTGGTGCTGCTTCAAGCTGAGCTGCTGCCTGCAATGCTGCATCCCATACGGGTGTCAGCTCTGCTTCAGATGCAGCTTCCTACCATCGCATGCACCCAGCCACCTGTTCCCTCCACCCACATGAGAGACCCAGACAAAACTCCCGACTCCCGATTTTGGCCTGGCCCTGCTCTGGCTGTTGTGGTTATTTGTGGAACAAAGTAGCAAACAGAAAAGCTCTGCCTTCTAAATAAAACCTTTTAGAGAGAGAGAAAAAACCAGGTGAGATGAAAGGATTCTGAAAAATTTAAGGATAGTGGGTCAAAACAAATAGGTTTCTCAAATGTAGCGCTTTTTAGTATTAGAACACTCCAGTGTGGCAGACAAGTCTGGCTACCTTGCTGAATCTTGACTTTTGAATTACAGTAACCACCAATCCCACAAAGTACTTACTACTCCTTTAGAAAGGTAGTTATTGACAAAGTCCTTCCAAGTGATTTCTCTTCCAGAGCTCTTGAACAGGAAGTAAAACATGATTCCACCCCAAAACAGGGCGGTCCAGAGAAAGTACATCCTGAAGTCCTTGTCGTCCCATGGGACGTCACCCTGGCAAAACGGAAGGCAGCCGCTGTGAAGAACAAAATTTCTCAACGAAGCCGTGAATCCCTCCCAACCTGTCCAGGGGTCACCAAACAAGTTTGAAATCGAACCTTCTGGAACCTGGACCACCAGTGAGAATCGTCCTTCTTGCTGCCGCGCTTTCCACCACCGCCCCCTCCTCCTCCTCCTCCAGAGGAGCGTGAGGTAGACGCCGATTTTGATTCTGTTCACAAACAGCACATACAACCAAAACTTATTTTCATTTTCATAGACTCAAGGAGGGTTTTATATTTTGCATTGACGCTTTCATTTATACTGCTTAATAAAGGACTTACTGCGTATTGCATGATTATCAACCTACACACAAAGCCCTGGGACAGGATGCAAACACGACACAGTAACACTCAAGGGGTTCCAAACGCTCTCCTACATCACCCCCCGAACTGTGCACAAAGACCCAACAGACTGAGCGGAGAGCGGCAACTACACCCATCTCAGAGGAACGAGGCCCAGCTTGAGTGAACTGTGGGATCCCCCATGCGGTGCTAACAAGAGTCCCTGCGCCAAGGTACAGAGTAAGGGCTCCCCTTTCCCACGGCCACAAAGCACTGCCTCTTCTGCACACAGGCTGGGGTGGTTTGCTCAAAGGCAAAAAGCAAAAGAACCACATAAGACAAGTCTGTGATTATCTGAAATCAGTTACGTGTTGACCTGTGCTCTCGCAACTCCCAAATGCAAGCGCCACAGTCCCAAGCCCCTTCACTGATGGCGGCCCTAGTTAAGGACAGGATCTTCACAGGAGAAAACCAAGCCAACAGGTGTTCAGGGTGGGCCTTCATCTACAGTAACTGGTTCTTTTTACAAAAACAGGACATGTAGAAACAGACACACACACACACACACACACACACACACACACACAGCAGGTGGTGTGAAGGGACCTAGCAGGCAGACGCTCTATGAGCCTGGGACAGATCCCCCCTCACAGCCCCGAGCTGCCTGCTGCTGCCCCTTCTTGTTGGATTTCTCTGTGTCCCCAGCCGGTCACACCTGTCACACAGCCCAGCACACTCCTGTGTCACTAACACTGTCCTTTCTTTTGCCACTTCTCTCTGCTCTTGAAGACTTAGGTTCCACCCTCAAGTCTCCGACTACCACTGTCAGGATGGGAGGCTAGAGCCGCCAGTCACGCTCAGCATAACACTGCGGCGTTACTGCACGCTCCCTCCCACACCGTGCTGCACGCATGCAACTTCCGTACCCTCGTCTTCAGCAAAGCCAAGTCATCGTGGGGCACAGAGTGCGCAGGCCTGTCCCCTACCAAGGCCCAGGGCTGGGAAACACATCAGCAGCACACGTGCGACAAAGCACCTTAGACTCAAAAGATACCCCAGCATGCACTTACAAAACAGACCTCTCAAACCAAGACCCCCCTGGGAAAAACTGTACCAGCCACCCATGTCACTTAGACTGCAGCCCAGAACCCAGGGACACAATCGGCCCATGCTGGTATTTCTGTTTCTCTCTCCTCCAACCTCCTAGCCTGTTTTCTTTACACTCTTTGAGCGCATATTTAACTTCCCAACTAGATGATAAACTCATTTAAGAACAGAAGGACAGGCGTTATGGTGCAGCACGTTAAACCACTGCTTGTTAATGCCCAGATCCCACAGTGGAATGAGTTTTGAGTTCAGCTACTCAGGTTCTAACCCAGCTTCCTGCTGACGCCCCCGGGAAGCAGCAGATGATAGATCAAGGCCGGAGCTCTTGCCACCATGAAGGGAAGCCCACACCGAATTCCTGGCTCTTAGCTTCAGCCTGGCCCAGCCTGGCCGCAGATGAAGATGTCTAAGTCTCCCCCCTTCCTATCACCAAGTCCTTCAGGTAAATGAATCTTGAGCAAACAAACAAGGAAGAATTCTGTTTTTCCTTAGGACTCGCCAGAAGAGTAGGGTGCCAGCTGAACGCCAACACCTGCCAAGTGTCACCATGCTCATGAAATGGTGACAGGACGCTGAGAGCTTACTGAGCCTCCCGTCCCCTCCCCTGCTCTATGAAACCACGTCCGAAGAGTTTCGGGAAGGTAAGATTAGATTATCAGGGGCGACTTAAAAATACACTGCTTCATATCACAGACATCAAGTAAATGACATAAACCAAGACGTTCCCCAGGGGGTTAAATTACAGGCCAGGCAGCTTCCAAGTACACCTGGTCTGACCCTTCTGTAACGCCACGGTGATGAGAAAGACCTACCAAATCCACTTCAACTTGAAACTTGACAAGAAAAGAAGCAGAAATTTAAGACACAACAAAGTACTTATAACCCAGTTTCACAACTGATTCATAATAAACTGTTCAGTGCAAAAAATCACCATTGTAAATCAGAGGAAATCAATAAATGTAAATATTTTCAAAATGTACCTTTTTTCTCTCCCACAGCTTCTTTCGTTTCACTAGCTTTTTTCCCATTTTTCCCATTGGGAAAGTATTTTTCAAATCCTGTTACAAACGAAAAGATAAACATTTTCCAACTGAAATTCACCAAGGTGCACTGTGCTCATTTTTTCAAAAAGACTTATTTATGTATTTTTATTGGAAAGGCAGATTTACAAAGAGAAGGAGGGACAGAGAAAAAGATCTTCCATCCACTCCCCAAGTGGTCACAACAGCCAGAGCTGAGCCAATCTAAAGCCAGGAGCTTCCTCCAGGTCTCCCACACAGGTGCAGGTCCCAAGGCTTTGGTCCATCCTCCACTGCTTTCCCAGGCCACAAGCAGGGAGCTGGATGGGAAGTGGAACAGCTGGGACACAAACTGGTACCCATACGGGAATCCTGGCCACTGCAAGGCAAGAAGTTAGCCACTAGGCCATCGCATCAGGCCTGTCCTCATTTGTTTAAGGCAGCTGACACATGATCAAAACCATAAGCTGAGGGGGCTAGAACCACGGACTGTGGTGCCAGCACCCCATATAGATGCCAGTTTGACTCTTGGCTGCCTCACTTACGATCCAGAGCACTGCTGATGTCCTGGTGGGCAGCGGAGGATGGTGCAAGTCCACGGGCGTCTGTGCCCACGACAGACCTGAACACAACTCCTGGCTCCTGGCTTTGAACTGCGCCAGGCTGGACAGCTGCAGGCATCTGGGGAATCAACCAGTGCATAGAAAACCTCTCTTTCTCTATGGATTTCTTCAAATAGCTTAATTCCAAGTAAATAAATGGATCGTTAAATAAATTAACACCTTTAAAAAATAAAAACAAACTTTTCTTAAACAGAAGTATGCTGAGGACCCAACATCTTACTGTAACAGGCAAAGCCGTAAAGCTGCCTGCAATGCCAGCATCCCATGTGGCTGCTGGTTCCTGTTCCGGCTGCGCCACTTCCAATCCAGGTCCCCACCGACTGGGAAAAGCAGTGCGAGAAGGCCGGTGTATCTGGGCCCCTGTCACCCACGTGGGAGCCCCTGATACAGCTCCTGGCCTGGGTCTGACCAGCGCTGGCTGTTGTGGCCATATGCGAAGTAAATCAGAAGAAAGGCATCCCTCTCTACCCTTGACTTTCAAACTAAATACATCTTAAAAAAAAGTATGTGAAAGTCTAGTATAACTTTCAACCCACAAGTGTTCAAAAGAAAAGCTTCCTCTGCATGCCAAGCTCATGACCTATGAGAGGGGCTGGCGCTGGAAGGGGCCTCCCAGCTGTAATCAGACAGGAGCTGGAGGTGAGGAATGCTCTCAGGAAGATAACAGCAGTTAAGAGTGAAGCTAACGCTTCTGATTGGCTTAGCAAACCCCGCCAATTACAGTCACATTGTGTCCTTACCTTTGGGTGGTCGAGAACAGAATCTTCGATAAGCAGCAATGACATCCGTCAAAAGGGAGCTTCTGCTGGCTGTTGCATGAGCTGTAGCATGCCGGGAAAACTGCAACACAACCAGAAAATAAAAGCACGACAGCCGTTATCAGGGTAACAAGACGGCTTTTTTTTAAAAAAATACATTATTTTGAATTTTGAATTATGTGGTACAATCTCGTACAGGCTGGGACTCCCCCCCTCAATTCCCACCCCCCCGACAGATTTTCCACATTTTACTACAATAGTGTAATCCTTCATAGGGAATCATAATTCTATCAGTCTCTTATTTAAATGTACCCCGACATTGTTGGTACAGACAATGTCAGACAGTCCAGCATCCCATTGTCTACACATGCCCAACAGTTTCACTGGGAGAGGTGGAAGAGGCTCCAGGCTCCTGGCTTTGGATTCACTCAGCTCCAGCTGTTGTGGCCACTTGGGGAGTGAATCAGCAGATCTTTGTCTCTCCTTCTTTCAGTAACCACCTTTCCGAAAAAAATTTTTAAAAGCTGTCTTTGGCAACAGGAACAGCTACGGCTTAACAACCTTTATACACACGGTAAAACTCTCTGGCCTGCACATTTTAATCAATTTGATGATAGATGAACAAATAGATCAATAGAAGGACGAACGGTTCCTAGGGCCAGGGGGACGCTGCAAAGGAAGGCCCTTCACCCGGGGGGGGGGGGCCAACGTAAAAACGACAACTCGCAGGGTGCTGCCTACCTGCCCTTTGCAGTGCTGAGTCCAAGTCCCAGGGACAGAGCAAAGCAAGACAGTGCCCAGGTGCAGTGCCAGGCCAGCAAGGGGGTGGGAAAGAGGAGAACTCGGGGATCAATAAGACTGCACAGTGAGGAAGGCAGACACAGTCCTCCATGTTCCAGGATTCAACTAACCAGACAGAAAATTCCAGAGAGGCTGCCACTGAGGCACAGAGGGGTCAGGGGCCACTTGCAATGCCTGCCTCCTTTGAAGAAGGGCAGTAAATGGTGAGCCAAGTGCTTGGGCCTCTTCCACGCCCATGGAAGACCAGCTGGAGTTTCAGGCTCCTAGAATTGGCCTGGCCCAGACAAGGCAAGTCGCAGGGGCCATCTGGGGAGTGAACCAGCAAAGATACCCACTTTCTCTCTCTCTTTCTGGTAAATTAACCTTTGAGGAGCATCCGCTGACCACGACTTAAAGGGCATGAAAGGGACCCAACAGGCCCGGCACGGTGGCGCAGTGGTTAAGGTCCTCGCCTTGCACGTCCAGGATCCCATACGGGCGCCGGTTCTAATCCCGGCAGCCCCGCTTCCCTTCCAGCTCCCTGCCTGTGGCCCGGGAAGGCAGCCGAGGACGGCCCAAAGCTTTGGGACCCTGCACCCGCCTGGGAGACCCGGAAGAGGCTCCTTGCGCTCACTTGGGGAATAAATCATCGGATGGAAGATCTTCCTCTCTGTCTCTCTTCTCTGTATCTGCCTTTCCAATAAAAAAATAAATCTTTAAAAAAAAAAAAGAAAGGGGCCCAACGCTGGGCACAGCCAGTGACGCCTCCACCTGTGGTGCCAGCATACCATACGGGCACCTGTTTGTGTCCTGTCCGCTCTATTTTTGACCCAGCTCCCTGCTAACGCTCCTGGGAGGGCAGTGGACGACCACCCTCGGATCCGGGTCTCTGCCACCTACATGGGAAGCTCTTGGAAGAAGGTGCTGGCTTCACACCAGTCCCACCCCTGACGGTTGTGGCCATTTGGGGAGTGGACCAGCAGATGAAAAGCCGATCTGTCCTTCTCTATAAACCCTTAAAAGTGTATGAAGAGTCGTGCATCGGTTACAGGCGGAGTGGACAGGAGCATCCTCGAATTTGGGTAACAGGAGGTGAATCTTGAGCCAACTGGCAAGAATACCTTCGGAGCGTGATATCCCCTCTTTGGAGCGAATGGGGCTGATTGGCCAAGCCTGCGTCCCAGGACGGACCCCAGGCCCTCCACCAAGGGCAGGCAGAAACACTGCCGCTTTATCAGCCAACAGCAAGTAATCGATACGCCGCGTTCCCTTGCCTGCCTCTGTGTATACTCGGAGCATCACTTCCTGGGCCCTGGGCTGGACTCCTTAGCTATGACCCAGAGAAAACTGCCTCCCGATGAGAGCAAAAGCCCTGTAATGTCAGGAAGCACGGGGCTCCTGCCCTGTGTGGGAGGGGTGCCGTGTCCCACAACGAGGATTCGGAGCTACCCGTCTCGCCTATGGGGCAGACCCAAGACACGCAGCGGGAAGCCCACTCGCGAGCTAGGACCCTGAAGGCCACCTGCAGCACCCCGGGTCCCCAAGGCAGGTAAGCCCAGCGCTGCCGGCGCCGCGGGCTCTGCAGCCCCGGCTCGCCCACCGTGCCCCAGCGCAGACCAGCGCCTCCCAGGCCCTTCCCCGCAGCCTCCCAGGCCCTTCCCCGCAGCTCAGCCGCACGAGCGCGGACACCACGCGGGGCGGCCAGGCGCCCTACCCCGGCCCCGACCCCGCCGTGCGGCCTGCGCTCCCCGCCGCTCCGCCGGGGCGGTGACCTTGACGGCCGCCCGTGGGCGGAGGCGGACGCCGGCCACCCGGCACTCACCGTCCGAAGGCAGGGCCGCTCGCCGAGCCGCAGGGCGACGCCGGCCACGAGCAGCGGCGGGAGGCCGCGGGGCCGGCAGCCGCCCCGGCCCCACAGCAGCAGGCAGCGGTGCGCCATGCCCGCCGGAGCGGCCCACTGCGCACGCGCAACTTCCGCCGCCGCCGGCGCCCGGCGGCCTCGGGACCGAGCTCACGCTCCACGCACGCGCGGCGCCTCCCGCACGCCCCGCCCCGGCGTGATGACGTCGGCTACGCGTCCGGAGCTGGAGGTGGGCTGAGGGCGGGGCCGAGGGAGAGGATCGCGGAGAGGGAGCCGGGGGCGGAGCCAGAGAGGAGTGATGGCGCGGGAGGCGGGGCCAAAAGCAGGACGGGCTGCGGAGAGGTGGGCGGGGCCGAGGGACTTACTGGCATGGCGGGGGCGGGGCCTGTGGGATGGAGGCGGGGCCACGGAGGCAGGGGCGGGGTCACGGTGGCAGGGCGGGGCCAATGGATGGAGGCGAGGCCACAGCTGCAGAAGCAGGACCAAGGGGCTTACTGAGCGAGCGGGGGCGGGGCCACGGAGGCAGGGGCGGGGCCACAGTGGCAGGGCGGGGCCTGTGGGATGGAGGCGGGGCGTGAGCCAGTGGCGGGCCTGGTGCAAGTTGCGTGCCGCCTTAAGCATACGAGGTGACTGGGAAGGATACGTGAGAAGGTTCCATCAGCGAGTTGAAGTGTGTTTAAACGCTGCGACCCACCGGGTACAGCCGACCCTCGTGACACCCGCATCCCACATGGGCGCTCGTTGGAGTCGGCTTCCTCACTGTCCATGCAACTCCCGGTGCACGTGCCTAGGAAAGCAATGGAGGGTGACCCAGATGTCCCAGACCCCGCGCCCACGTGCGAGAACAGGAAGACCCTGGCTCCTAACTTTGGGCAATGTGGACCATTTGTGGTGCTCTGGGAAGGGAGCCAGTGCGTGGAAGTTCTCTCTCTTTGTGTGTTTACCTCAGCCTGTATAACTGATTTTCACATAAAGAAGTAAATATTTTAAGACAAAGGAAGTTCCGCGTTTTTATGAACACACACTGGCAACACTAGAAGAACAGACATTAAAAGGAGTGTCTGACCTCTCAGAATGGCAAATGTCCAAGATTTTGACAACCCACTGTCTGTTGGCCAAAAGTTCTTGAAAATAATTACTGGCTTTGCAGAATGGTGCAATCCCATTGGTGTTGTTCGTGTGATTGCAGCATTATTTGCCAGCAGCGATGATTGGAAATTACCCCAATATTTATCTAAAAAACCTAGTTAAAGCTATGAAAAATCCTCATCAAACAAAACTGTTTAGCAATTCTTGCAAGAGAAAAATCTTTTGCTTCTGGATAATATGGAGTAAGAGGGCTTGAGACATGCAGGAAAAAAGCCAAACAAAGCAGATGACATGAAGTACGATTTTGAAGATGTTGAAGACGTTTGTAATGGGAGCTGGGGACTAACAAGGTGGCCCTGGGAACACCCGGCTAACGGCAGGGAACGGTGTCCCGGCCACTGGGTGTGACAACCCAGGCAATAAAAGGAAAGGTTAGATCTCCAAAACATTTCTGGGACGTGTGTAACTCGACCTCTTCCATAACCTTTTGGAAAGCCCCAAAAGGGGAAGTGAGAGTGCTTATCAGGAGAAAAACATCCCATTGGGGATGAGGGCTTGCTTGCTTTTGCAGCTCATGCAGTGAGCTGATTGCCCCAGTAGGTTTCTGTACATGGAATGGGAAGGACCTTTTTGGCTGGTTCTGTTTGCTGCTGGGCGGGGTACGGCTCTTACTGATTGGATAGTTTAAATGCATGATGCTGAAATTGATTGGGTGTCTGTGCTCCACGTCACTACAGCTGATTGGATCATCTGTATTGCGTGCTGATGTAGTCTCAGTTGATTGAATGGTTTATATCAGGTTCTGTAGAAGGACGTTGGGAATCTTCCGCCGTGCAGAACCAGAGCTAGATGCTATTCCTCCGGAAGCAGCTAATGTGGAATGGACAGACAGGAAGTTCCCCGAGCCCCAGGTTTAGATGTTAGAACCTGCTAGGCAAACAGATTGTGTATTAGGGAACGGTCTTATGCTGTTGAAATGTGAATGGTTCCGGCCCCGCTCCCTGGATGCCTGTGTGACAACCTGATGCTGTTAATGAATGAACTTTGGCAATTACTCAGCAGTCACGTGCGCACCAAGTCCATGGCTGCAGGACAGCGAACAAGTGGCACCTGAACAGGGACTTGAAAGAAGAAAAGAAAGTGCAGGCCAGCGAACAGCGAACCTGGGCTCTCTTGGTTGGTTGGATGGCTGTAGCTGGGGGCCGCTTTCTTCTTCCATGTGCGGTGGAATGGGACAGTCCGCTGGCCAGTGACGGGGCTGCTGAGCTTCTAAGGCCTGCCTCCGACTCATTTCACTGGGGATGGATTTGCTCGGCTCACAACACAGGGCATGGAAGAGGAGGAACTTGGGAAGGGATGGACGTAGGAGCCTGGACAGAGCTACAGTGAGGATCAAGCAATCAAAAGTGATGTGGAGGACCCGGCGCGATAGCGTGGCAGTTAAACTCCTCGCCTTGAACACGCCGGGATCCCATATGGGCGCCTGTTCTAATCCCAGCAGTTCCACTTCCCTTCCAGCTCCCTGCTTGTGGCCTGGGAAAGCAGTCGAGGACGGCCCAAAGCCTTGGGCTCCTGCACCTGCATGGGAGACCTGGAAGAGGGTCCGGGCTCCTGGCTTTGGATTGGCTCACCTCCAGCCATTACGGCCACTTGGGCAGTGAATCATCGGATGGAAGATCTTCCTCTGTCTTTCCTCCTCTCTGTATATCTGACTTTGCTTTTTAAAAAATTATTATTATATTTTTGACAATCTTTACATAGTTAATTAGGGTAAAAAGGCTCAAGGGCTATAGGGAAGTGGGTAACACTATTATTTCCATATTGTTTCCTTCATGTATCGGAGGTAAAGGGGGATAGGGGGAGAAGCCCCACCCAGCTTCCCACCCACCCCAAGTCCCAGATGTGGGGCATGCTCTGAGATACTTGCTCAAGTGGTTTTGATAGTTGTATATCTGACTTTGTAATAAAAATAAAATAAATCTTTTTTTAAAAAAAAAGTGATGTGGAAATGACATGAAGAGTAGAGGAACAGATAGGAAGGGCTTGGCTCTGGGCAAGGCTGGCCTTCCATATCTAGGCACTGGTTCCAGTCCGGGCTGCTCCTCTTCAAAGCCAGCTCCCTGCCAACAGGCCAAGGACGACACTGGAAAACGGCCCCAAGTGCCGGACCCCTCATGGACTTCTACCTCGTCCAGTCCTGGCCATTGCAACCATTTGGGACATAAATCAAGGCAGTTACAGAGAGAGGAAAAGACAGAGAGAGGGAGAAAGAGATAGAGAGAGAGAGAGAGAGATCCATGCTCCTTGTGGTTCATTCGCCATAACTAGGGCTGCCCAGGCCAAACCAGGAACCTGGGACCCCATCTAGATCTTCCTGTGGGTGCCAGGCACCCAAGGACTTGGACCATCCTCTGCTGCTTTCCTCGGGAGCTGGAATGAAAGTGAAGCAGCTGGAATGTGAACCACCGCTCCTGTGGGATGCCAGCATCACGAGCAGTGGCTCTAACAGGTGCATCGCAACAACACCAGCCACAAACAAATCTATCATTTCTTACTTTTTAAATTTTATTTTTGATAATGTTTACGTAGTTGATTATATTGGGAAAAGTCAAAGATTGGGGGAAAAGTGGGTGACAACTTTATTTGCCAATTTTCTTTTTCTTCTTCCTGTATCTGGGGGAAGGGAGATTAGGGGAGAAGTCACACCCAGTCTCCCAACCGCCTCAGTACCCAGGGATGGGGAACAGCCGCCCGATGTAACCCCAGGGTCCTCCATGGGAAGCATGCTCTAAGGGTTCTGCTCAAGTGGTTTCGATAGTTCTGAAATGCTGTCAATCTTGCCACTCCAAGGATGAGGAAAATCCTTCCTAAGGTCTATCGGCTAACGTGGTCCACCTTAGAGTCTCCATTCGGCCAGATGTTTGCTGTCAATGTTTGGTTGGGGTAGCTGACCAATTTGTCTTGCTCTCCATCCTCTGCTGTCCTCTGCAGACCCCAGTGGACTGCCATATCCTCCCTGTGCATCTGGGCCTGCCGTCCACTGCTCTGCCTAAGCCACTGAGGAGGCCCAGTTCTGACACATGCACTCCATGGTCAGACCACAGCTCCTGCGATTCCCACACAGCTGGAGCAGAGTCCAGTGGCTCAGTTGGGGGAAATCCCAAAGAAACCTGTCTGAAGTGATCCCAGATCTACCTGGCTCTTGTGTTTGCTTGCCAGTACAAGGTCCAGCTCTGTCTATCACCCACTTCTGCCTACACATAACCTGGTAGTTGCAAATGCTGGGTCAGTTCTGTCTCCACCTGCCGGTTCTCTCCCAGGATGCGCTCAGTAGCCATGGCTGAGCCAGGCTGCAGCCAGGAGCCTGGAGCTTGTTTCTGGGTCTCCCACATGGGGTGGGGGGGGGCAGGACTCAAGCAGTTGTCAACACCCACCACATCCCGGGGTGCGTGTTGACAGGAAACTGGATTGGAAGTGGAGCGGAGCTGGATCCCAGCACTTCAAGGGGCGTCAGCCCAGTGTGCCGTCTCCTGCCCCTGCATGATTCTATCGTGTGAAATGCCCAAACCCGGAGACAGAGGAAGGTGCTTGGTGATCAGCAAGATCTCAGGGAACAGTGGCTGGGGTGTTTCCGAAATGAACAACAGTGGCTACCTGCGATCCTGTGAGAACAGCGTGGCTGTATCATCCATTCAAATGAACTGTAAAGACACTTAAGACTAACAAAATACTGAGATCCCAAACAGCTTGTAAATACAAATTTCTGGGGCCAGTGCAGTGGGGCAACAGGCTAATCTTCGGCCTGCAGTGCCGGCATCCCATATAGGCACTGGTTCAAGTGCTGGCTGCTGTACTTCTGATCCAGCTCCTTGCTTATGGTCTGGGAAAGCAGAGGGGGCGCGGCTTAAGACCTTGGGCCCCTACACCCACATGGGAGACCCAGAAAGAAGCTCCTGGTTTTGGATTGGCTGAGCTCCGGTTGTTGCGGCCATTTAGGGAGCAAA